TTGAAACGAGAGATACTTGATTATATATATATAGCAATTGTAAATCTTAATTACTCCCCTTTTCCTTCAGGATTAAAATGCTGTAATCCTTGCTTGGAAATCTAGCTTGGCAACTCATATGAACCCTATTAAGCTGGCTTAAAAGTTAGACTATAACTCCTTCTTAGTATGATCATCAAGATAATGCATGCATACATTCATGCAACGTTCCAGCTTCTCTTTTTCATGTGATATGTTGCAATTTATCTCGCGATAATTCAAATTTATTGCGCGATAAATTGACTAATTATCGCGCGATAATTTCAACTTATCGCGCGATAACTTGAGCAAAACTAAAAATATCTTGTAATGTCCCTTACGGGCCACCGTAAAAAGGAGAAAACAATAGCGTGCTGCATTCATTGTTTAGTTTGCCACCTACAACATATTAATGAGCTTCGTCGTGCATTCTTGGCAACCAATGGCTGAAGCGCTTTCATAGAGTCTCTGCATGATTGCGCGTAATATGACAGATCTACGAACTTTGCTGAACTGGAAGTAAATGTCCCGAGAACAGTAGGATAGACCACATCGTGTTGTTTTCACTTTTCACGAAAATCTTTCAGATGAAAAGTTGCCAGAAATAAAACGAGCGTTTTTGTGCTTTTGAAACCTAAAACCTTTGGTTACTTGTAACAAGATGAACCACAAATTTGCATAATTTTTGTTTGCATGATATTTGCTCACTGATGCGTGACTTGGCACTTGCGCTTTCCACTTTCCCGTTAACTTGAAACTTGACTCGGAAAACCGACTCCCAAACAAACCTTCTTCTGAAAAATGATCTTCTGAATGCACTAATTTTGAATGAGAAGCAAACTGATGAAAGCTATCAAATTTGTACGCCCTTTAATAATATAAACATCTCCCCTGTCAGCGGCTAAGAAATACTCCCGTGGGAAATTGCGCGGCAAATTGCGGAAGTCGCAGAACGAAGCGCTTTCACTGGCAGCTTTTCGTGTTGTCTACGTTGTGTCGTTCAGTGTGTCCATTGAGAACTTTGGTTTCACGGTTTCAACGCCGTTTTTTTCTTAAAAAATGTTTTTCTAAATTGTAAAATGTCTAAAATCATCGCGCAGAATGCCTCTATATATTTTAATCAACAAACACCTACAGTATCAGTGTTTAGAATTTACCATACTGAAACGCACGTGACCAATATTTGCTAAAACCATAATAAATTCCTCACAGGAGTTCAGGATCAAAACCTTTTAGGTTCCTCACAAATGATTATGAAGCAAAATTTAGACAAATAGGTTTCTCTGAATCAGTAAGAATTAGTCACGGGCAACATTTACCTCCAAAGTTTTTTCAATATCTGCTTTTCCTTCACGAGCGGGATCTCAATATGTCTCGTCTGACAAGTAATGCGATACTTCGTCTTGTTTATGCAGATTTTACTTCGACCGAGCGACTTTCGGTCCGCAGGAATTTATTAGGAATTTAAAACATTTTGTCTTACAGTACTTCTGTAATTTTACTTCTCCGAAAAATCTTCACTTGCCCGTCGGGCAAGTTAAGCACAGAATTCACTTGCCCGATCGCAAAATCCACTAGCCCCGGGCTGTCCAACACGACTTTCTTTTCACGCTAATGAGGTTGAATTATTGGACTCTATTGCCTTACAATAAACTTTGCCTTGCAGCATTTTAATAAAAGAAGTTGTACATACCTTGTGTAAAGCAAAAGGCTCACTGAAAGCAATTTTAAGAACCTTTTTGTCGAATATCTCTCCACCGTCTGCACTTCCGCCTTGTTGTTGTTGCACGGACGTAATGGCGCTGTTGGCCGGAAGGGCTTGGTACACTAAATTCCAGTCCTCATTCCTCAATCCTGAATTTCTACTTCCATCTCAGTGGTTTCCGGCCCTCGCCCCTAGGCCACTCAATAGGGACCTTACGATCCGACAACGGGCGACGTCCATAAAAACGTCGCTGGAAAATAGACTTCGCATCCTTTTAAACTTTTTCGCTATTATCCCAATTCGCCCTGTTACTTTTAGAAGAAGGGAATTTTAGTTGGAGCTGAAGAGAAGGGACCGCGCCCGAGTTCAGACAGAGATGGTAGAATTCATTGCCTCGCCGTTCCTGTTCTCAATTAAACTTAAAATTTGGTCATTTAATTTCACGTCGTAGTTGTGCAGGAACAGTAAAGAAATGTACAAAAAAGCGTGATGCACGTGCAGAGTTGCTGTTTTGCTCATTAAACCTATTGCTTTTTTGACGTTCTCCTTGCAGTCGCCGTCGTAGTTTCGTAAGGTCCCTATTGACTTCCATAACGGTCCGAATACCTGAGTTCACAGAGTTCACATTACCATATGTGACGCTCTACTTTAGAGATAGGCGTGGTGCAGCTTCGATCAGTTACTGAGTGAATCGCACCGAAATCAGCGTTGTTATGTGTGAACTAGAGAGAATAAGCTGTCTCATTCTCTCTTGGTGTGAATAGAAGCCCTATCCATTATGGTATGGGAAGGTCCATAATAATAACCTAGAGTTGCTGAACTCATTATAAGAGGGTACCGGCGTCATACTGCTGGGGAATAACCCTGCGATGGACTAGCATCCCGTCCAGGGGGGAGTAGCAATACTCCTAGGCATACTTCTGCTAAGGAAACCGTTTGGACCTTTGGCTCGTGTGCGCCTTTACCTTTTTCAGTGGCACCCAACGTCAATTTTCGGAAAATATCTGTTCGGAAGACGATTTGAGATCTAGAATTCTCGGAACATTTTTTATAAAATTTCTTGCTTCCCTGCCTCTCCTAGGATTTTCGACCATCTAAAAATGGTATAATTGCCCATTTTTAACGGATTTTTACCCTAAAAAGGTCACCCAGTATTTTCGGGAGCCTTTTTTCTGGCTGAAATTTTCGAAAAGGTAAGTTTTGATCCGAATAATTTTCGGATCACTAGACTTTCAGCTAGGAAATCCGAACAGATGAAAAATTTTTAGGCGATAAAAATATGCCTATATCTACCGTTTAAATACTAAAATACGTTTAACAATACTATGTTTAAGTGGTTTTGAACTATATTCTCGTTGGGTGCCCCTGCTTTTTCATGTAATAGTCTTATAAATTGGTTCAGAAGAACCCGGTCTATAAGGACACCAAGGCGACATGCCATAGTGTCCGTATTACTGACCAGGCTCCCAGAATGAAACGTCAGGGACACAAGTTTTTATCGATGTGAAAAACAGACATTTTTACGAGAAAACATTGTTTTATTCTGTAATTGTAACAAGTTCATCCTCAAGAAATCTCACAATCATTTATCAAAGTCTACTATAGTCTATTACCTTCTAAGAATTAAGCGAGCCGTGATTTTAGAAAAAAATATGTGGCCTTTTCATCGGGAGGACAGACGAAACTTTCCGTAATAAACGGGTGCAGGAGCCCATGGGCTCCTGACGGGTATCCACCAAGCGGGGATCCACTGCATACTAAAAATTGCACTCTGCTAGTATAAAAGTGCAAGTCGGAAGTACCACCTTTGTTTTGCTATTATTTTAGAGATGCAGAACATTATCATGGTTCTTGCTAAGCCTTAGTTTTGAAACTTCTACAGAAATCCACAACAAAAGCAAATACTAACTTCATTGCAATTAATCACGTAATTGATGGCATTTATAACCATGTGCTTACTAAATAAAACAGTATGAAACAGTATAAATATGATCCGCGTTGAATCGAATTACAACATGTAGCCCGGATCGTTTTGACTATAACCCAGACAGAATATAGGAACTTCGAAAGATTTCTATTGGTTATTAATAATATTTATCTACCCAGACAAGCAAACAAAGTGCCTATGTAATAAAGAGTCTCATATATAGATAATTACACCTAAAGAATAATCCCATCTAAAAACTAACCCTAACGAATTGAGACTGAGAGAACTTTTAGAATTTTCAGTTCAAACTCCTCCCTCAACCAATCCCCGGGTCTAGAGCTTTACATCTTCATCTCGCTGACGGAAAGGCATCACACAAAAAGGCATAACGCTTAAAGGCATCACGAAAAAGACGAAACAAAAGCACTGATCGGTAACGTAATAAGAGTTTTCTTTGCCTCCTTTACAGGCCCTTAATGAAATGAGCATTGTGTGTCTGGTGCAGGGGGGGGGGGGGAAGCTACTTCCCATACATTCTCTTAAATGAAATCCAAACGATGTTCTCACAACTTGCAAAGCGATCAGCAAGGGTCTTGTCAGCGGATTTGTGTACTGATCATGCGCATTACGTCAAAATCCATTGATCAACGGTCTTGAGAAGAATCAAAAACACAGGAAAAAATAACGGATTCCCATTTTTGGATATTTTTGGGTATTTAAAGAATACCCATAAAAATCCCAAATTTGGCAAAGTGAGACAAGTCCCAACCGGGGAATTCCCAACCAAGTTCCCAGATTGGGACTTGTCTCACTCTTCCAAATTTGGGATTTTTGTGGGTATTCTTTAAATACAGCATCAAGTTATCCTTACCGGGCAAAAACGATGTACCTATAAATCGATCGAGCGCATTGTTGTTGGTTAAGATCTAACACCGTTTCCCCCGCAATTTCAGCACCGAAAGACAAATACGATATGCAAGAAAAACAAAGATGCATGACATTATGTTTTACAATTTTTTAAGCATTTCTGATTTCCTCTGCCGGTTTGCTTCTTGCTTCAAAAAAGTCTAATCATTTGGGAAAAATACTGCAATTATCCGCTGGCCACCACGCGGGGTGACCGCTTTGCAAGTTGTGAGAACATCGTTTCTCGGTCCCAGACCTCGTCGCTTTATGGTAAAAGTGTACCAATCGGAATCTGTGACCACTATAATTTATACCAGATCTCGTTCAGCCGCATAACTGCTACCCTACTCTAAACCAAAAACAAAAATTTTTACTATTTCCCAGACTCCTATTGCATACTGCAAACGTTTGAATTCCTAACTGTTTGTCAACAACAAGACATATTCAACACGGACCACAAACAAGGGTCCAGTCGTCCTCATATGTATAACCCAAGCAGCCAGGAACGCAGAGAGCACTATAACCACGAACTCGCATGGTGTCTTTAGGACGGAACGGTTCATTACTGTTCATGTAGTAATTCATTTTCCTACTTTTCTTACCACATGCGTAGCAGCGTACTTCACCAACGGGCGGATTCTCCACACGCACCAGAAAAGGGCTGCCTTCAATGTGGGTACCACGTAAAAGCACTGACAGCGACATGTGACCCTTTGTGCCTGCGGGGGCTCTATAAATTCCCTGATAAGTACCATTGCCTTGGTCAATTAAATTTACTTTCACACACTTCTTATCATTTGTCTGGAGGTTCACTACAAAGATGTCGCCGCCAACCCCAAGTGAACGTCCTTGGTAATCATGTGCAGATATGGTAAAAAAGGAATCTTTTCCCATCGGTGCAATAAACAATCCCGAGCCTACCGCTTTTGTAGTAGTTGCACAGGCAGAAGGCCTTATTAATTCACCTGCGTTATTGATCACGTCTATCAACAGTTCGCGGTTGAAAGCAACCGCCTCGAATTGACAGTTCTCCCGTGTTTCAAGTGGTGGTTTTTGGCTTTTTATGTCCTCCAGCAGAGTCTCTAAATCCGACATGGCGACAAGGAACTCAGCATTCCCTGATGACTGAATGATGGATCTTGCATTATTTACAGCATCTTCTAGATTGGTTTGAAGTGTGTGCAAACGATCACGCTGCCTTGTGAGAGTGGCATCTTTGGCAATGTTGGCATGGTAAAGGTCATTCATTAAAATTTGTTCTCTTGTAGCGAGTGCAGCTTGAAGCTACGAGGTAATATGCATAACATCTAATGGTGAGAAGCTAATTCAGTCTGTATGGAAAGACCAGTGAGATGTTTCCTCAAATGGGAAAAAATGCACTTTATTTGAACGTGAATGTACGAAGAACGGTGAGCTCGAGTACTAACGCAGAGGCCATAGGTTCGAATCCCGTTTTCGGGTTAATTTACAATTGCTTAAATTGCAACTTGGCGACGATTATTTCTTCATAATTCATTTAAAGTCTATTTAAATTAGTACTAATTGAATAAAATTGAAGGTTTTGTGGAGAAATTAAGACACATTGTTCATTTGGGCATGCATTGGTCAGACAAACTAAGTAAAATAACCAGTCTATAACTAAGAGAGCGAGTTGATTTTCAAGCGACCATTACTTTGCCTTTGCCATCGTCCCTGCTCGAAGTCCCTAGGTTGATTATTCCGGTAAAAGACGAGGAAACGGAATAACAATAAAAGGATTCCTTTTTCCCAAAAATTCCAAGGTAAACGACTACTGTATTTTAAAATTCTACCACTGTGTTTGAATTCAATTCCGAGACAAGACTCAAGCCAAAAAGCGCTCAAGTTAAGTGAGAAATCAACAAGTAGAATGAAATGCAACTGTGATCAAAGGGGGATTTTGATCTGCGGTTAAAATTCGGTAGCCTACGTAACTGACGCGGCAAGGGCGAGTGCTAAGAAAGTAGCCCATGCATAACAATCCCACCAGCTAAGCAGACGAAAATTATGTTACTTATCTTTTGTCTTTTTACAGTATTGTCACTTTCCCTGTCGGAAAAAAGGAAGCATAAAATGTAAAGCTTACCTCCCCGAACGTGACTTGAATCTGGACGGCCTGTTCTCGGTAAATATTGTTTAGGTTATCACGTGCTCGAAGCACCCTAGCTTCTGCAGCTTTAAACTCTTCTACGTGCCTACTGGCTGTGGTGACAAGCACTTCCATCTTCTTTTGGTACTTTTCAGCGGCGTCAGCTAGGGTCAGACAGTTGTGGCCTTTGTGTGTGAGTGCGACGCAGTCAATGCAGACTAAATGACCGCAGTCTTTATCGAAATATCTGAATTTACAGTCCTTATGGTCTGAGCAGAAAATCGATACGGCCGCCAGTCCCGGGTTTGTTTTCAGTTGTTCTAGAGAGACAATCCGATGATCACCACTTGCCTTATTGCGATAGTGCCAACGAACGGCATCTGCACACATGTCTTCTTTGCAGTCCAAGCAGTGGGAAGTTGCAGGATGCTTATCATCATCACAAAAGCTACAAATCTCTGAATATCCTTCTCCTTGGCTCTCTCTAACGCGTCGTTTAGGTGAGGCATTTACAATGCTCAATAATGCAAAATTCTTTACCAGTCCAGCGACTCCAGAGGTCACGTTAACTGTAGTTTTGCATGTGGGACAATCAATGGTGTTACCATGGAGTAGTCTCTCCAAGCAGCTTGAGCAGAAGGTGTGTCCACAACTCAGCATTCGAGGACATCGGTCACTTTCATTGAACTGTTCACAACAAATAGGACACTCCAGAAATTCTATGGAAGCCATTATCTGAAAGAAACGATTAACAATTGATCCTCATTAAGCTAATGTCATCACCCAATAACAATCTGTTCTGACAAGCTTGTAAGGAAATAGATCTCTTTTCCTTATCCAACTTTTTTCAAACTTCCCTCAAAAGGTAGACTGAGAGAAGTCTCTCCTTTTCTTCGAATTTAGTAAGGAGAGTGTATGTGTGCGCAAGCGTCGAGCGGCGAAGCCCGCCGGCGCAAAAAGACTAGCCCAGGAGAGCGGGGCCATCTCTAAGGTAAACAGCTAGGAAACTTTCCACCTACCACTCCCTAAGCCAATATTTTGCCCTAAGTAAAAAGTAAGTGTTAATGTTGGCTTAGGGGAGGGGTAGGTGTGCAGTTTCCACGGGATGGATAATGATCCGGTAAACATCGGTTCACTGATCACTGCCAGTGTGACGTCACATAGAGTTTCGGGTCGCTTCTGCAAATTTGCTGCAAGGAACATCATAGTCATGGGAACAACAGAGGTTGGGGATAGGATTAAAAGCCAGGCAAATATTGCTGTACATGGCTTATGTGAGCTTGGTTGTTGCTTTTATCTGCTTGTATAAACCGTTTTGGTATTTTGTGTTCGTAATTATGTAATTTAGTTAATCTGGGTCGCGGGCTGTTTGCGGGATAGCCATCTTCTTTACGGGACCAGCATGGGCATAAAAAATTGGTTCATTTTTTCTTTAAAATAGGCAACGTCTAGTCTCCAGAACAGGAGGTTTGATTCAGAGGTCACACACGTTTATATTCCATATATTCTTTCGCTAATTAAATCGACGGTACTTCTCATCAATCCCTTCGAGTGTGGGCCTCTGTTTATTTCTGAACTCTCCACCAAATTCAGTAAAGCAAGTTTGATCGATTTTCTTCATCGATCGGCCTTTTAAACCAGAAATAATGGCGAGCGCGAAAAATCGTTTTAACATTACAAAAACTGAGTGGCACCGTGGTGTAGTGGTCAAAGATGTGCAAAGATGAACAAGGTTCTCCTTCCGCGAAACAGTCTTCTGATTCTCAATTTGTACATTTTTTTAGTTATCAAAATCATCAGGCTTAGACTGGTAATTTTGTGACAGATCTACCAAATCCAAACTTAGGTGGCCCGCTACGTCGGGGCTGGGGGAGTACTCCCTTATATAAGCCATATACGTATGTGCCGCCCCAAAGGGTAACGTTTCAGTTCACTTATCTTCAACTGGAGTTTTGAAAATATTAAAATAAAATACCATAACAAATGACCATGAAGATATTAAGTCAACCCGCATAGAAATTACTGGAGCGATGCCTGATTCACTGAATATGATGTGTATGAAACAATTTACGAACACTTACAATAACAATTACGAATCAAAGTGCAGTCTTAAAGTGATGTCACTGTGGTGACCTCTACAATACAGACACCAATCCTATACGGACCCTTTGCTCCGGCTCTCCTAACGGTGTCTAGCTACGTCCGTTGAAAGAATAGAGAGGAGAAGTGTGTGACGTCACGTTACCACGGTAGCACTATTTCTGGATGACAACAAAACCAACGACGACGGCGACGGCAAGGAGAACGGCAAAAAATAACAAACAACAACTTTGCACGTGCATCACGCTATTTTGTACATTCCTTTGCCATCGTTGCACCACTACGACATGAAACTTCCTAATTTCACGAGCTCGCTTTATGGAGTAGGTGAACACAACACAAAAATTGTCGCTTTCTTTTTGTAAACTTAGATAACGTTAGATATGGTCCCAAAGAAAATTTCGCGAGGATTTGCCAAATTAAACGACAAGCTTGAAATAGTGCGAATAGACTTTTAAGTGACTTTAGCTCTCTGTTGTCATCCAGAAATTTTGCTGCCTTGGCAAATTGACGTGAGGACTTCTCTCTATTCAAGTCAATTTTTAAAGTTTTAAAAGTTTGAACTTTCCGAGTTAAAGAGAAGCAAAGTTAAGTGCCTTGAGGTTTTAGCTACTAGGCCCAGTTAGAACACATATTATAGCTAAACAATGTGATACTTCTAATAAAATCATAACAAATAGTAAAACGGCTGAGAGGTTTTAAGAACATTCAATACGGCTTGAAGCTTTTCGATTCAAAATCTCTTGTTATTGTTTATGTTAATGAAATAACAGAAGCGAGAACTTTTCCGTGTCGTCACTTAAATCCATCCAACCAGATAAAGAACACCATCAACGCGTGAAAATGTAAGAAATATTATGATCCCATTTACGTAATATTAGTGTTAAGTACTGTAAATACTGACGTAAAGCTTACATTTAAATAACTAAGCAATATTTCATCCAATGATCTAGACTCGACTTGGATTTGCTTGGATTTGGAAATGCCTCATTGAACTGACCCAGCAGAGCGAGCGATGGCAGGAATTAGGTTGAATCATCGACTCTACTGCCTTACAATAAACTTTGCCTTGCAGTATTTTAATAAAAGAAGTTGTACCTACCTTTTGTAAAGCAAAAGGCCCACTGAAAGTAAGTGTAAGAACCTTTTTGTCGAATATTTCTCCACCGTCTGCACTTCCGCCTTGTTGTTGCGAACGGACTTAATGGCGCTGTTGGCCGAGAGGGCTTGGTACACTAAATTCCAGTTCTCACTCCCGAATATTTACTTCGGTCTCAGTGGTTTCCAGTCCTCTTTCCTGTTCACACTACGATATGTGACGCTCCAGTTTCTGCACTTTCAAGATCGGCGTGGTGCAGCTTCGATCAGTTACAGGGTGAATCGCGCCGAAATCACTGAGGGTTCTTATGCGTGAACTAGAGAGAACAAGCGCTAGCTCTCTCATTCTCTCTTGGTGTGAATAGAAGCCCTATCCGGTTTGGTATGGGAAGGTCCATAATAATAACCTATAGTTTCTGACCTCATTAAAAGAGGCCTTTCTCAGTATATGTTGAAAAAATATCGTGTGCCAACCTATATTTTAGAGAGCAACTTAAGAGCCAATGTCTGTAATTTTCGAGAATCGGCTGACAGTCGTGAATTTTTTAATTTCTTCATATTTTGCCCAAATAATCTCTATAGTACACTAATTTCAAAAATCACCGTAAAACTTGTAACAGCTTTTTATTTTTTCATGAATCAGGCAAAGTTTGAAAAACGCTAAATCGGCGCTCTTTCGAGTATGAAATTAGCGAAAATTGAGCATTTTCTTTGCGCTTGTACATAAAAACGGAATAATATCTCTCGATGAAATCAAGTCACAAAACAGACACACATTTTTACTTTATAATTCAGCAATTAACTTTAAATAAACCGTTTAAATGAGACTGTACCGGCTGCAAGAAGAAACACGGTTTCAGCACTTTTCAAACATGGCAAATTTGACCAAACTTCACCATCGTAAAAACCCAGTTGGTACATGGAATTTCAATATGAAACGACAACTGTATTAAAGCATATCCTTTGCTGTTGTTTGTGTTAAAATATTTCTGGCGGCATTCCAAATGCGCACCGTCGAGAGACCAAGACCTAAAGGGTATTATTTTGACACCAGGAAAGGGTCAGGAAAGCGCGTGCAACAAGCAAGTTTTGACGCTTGGAATATTAATCCTTTCAAACATAAGTTACTTCGACATTTAAACCCTAGTCAGAGTTGTAACGGTTTCAGATTATATTTCGGCGTTTCTGTTCGGTTTAACATGATTCCTTTCAACTGATTTTTGCGATAACCGTAATGAAGAGACACGAATACGCAGTTCAAATCACAGTTCGTAGGGGGGAATATTGTCGAAATACTCGCTTGCTATAGTTTTAATCGTATTGAAACCTTAAAATCAGAAAAGTTATTTACTTACCTGAACTTAAATGCTAGACGGGGTCACAGTACCGCTAACTAAATTCTGCATCAAGGCAGAATCAAAGTTAAGTTTGTGTATGTTTTCAATCTGTCAACACGAGGGAAGATGACATTCCGGAAGTGCGTGACGCGTAACGCGCCGGCAAAGAAATTCCTGGTATAAGTGTCTTACGGTGCAAGTCTTTGATGCCTGTTCGTATAGCACCTCGCACATATTCAAACTTGGTTTGTGGCGCCTGTGGCCCCAGTAATGCTGAATGTATTGCGATCATAGAAAAGATGTCGCGATCGTGAGTCACTTGGTATGTTCCTGACTTGTTAGTCACGTGAGTATGTAGGGCAATAACCAAACATCGACCCTACCATGCTAATGATAAAAGTAAAGTTTTCTGCATTTAGGTTAGGTGACCTTTGTTTGATCCACAAAATTGGCGCATGAAAATAAGAGTTTTTCCTCACCACCGCTAAATGTTTGGTTCCCGGTGGCGGTGCAACAAATCACGTGGTACCGTTCCAGATCAGGCTACTGGCTGCTCATAGAGGGGTCCATAAAGGCACATTGATTGATGACTCTGTATGGCCTGAAGAAAATGATTTACGGAGACGTTTTCTGAGCGACGAAGGTGCAGCTTTTACACTCCTTTTTCGTTTCGAAAATGGACGAGCACGCGAGCGAAGCGAGCGCGCGAGAGATATCCCCTTGCGCTAATGGTCAATAAATCCCCTGCGGTTTTTATTTTCATACGCGAAATTGACGATCTCCAAAGAGAAAATAGATCGACGATCTCTAAAGAAAAAGTAGAGGGACTGTGAATAGGCTACGAAGGTGCTTGCTATTATTTTAGTGAACTTTACAACAGGTCTCAGGTGACTATGCTAACGTTATGAAAAGTCTACTTAGCGTGTTTAAGTTTAGCTCTGGCAGGAGGAGGAGATGGGTGGGTTGGTTGGCATTGGGTTCTCCATTAAGATCAACCCTATACATACAAAAATTCATGTCTTTATCACTGCATTTAGACCTAGCAGACTGTTTGATCCACAAAATTGGCCATGAAAATAAAAGTTTTTCCTCACCACCGCTAAATGTTTGGTTCCGGGTGGCGGAGCACAAATCACGTTGTACCGTTCCAGAACAGCCTGCTGTCTGCTTATTTAAAAGGGGTCCGTAAGGGCACATTAATTGATGACTCTGCGCGGCCTGAAGAAAATGATATACGCAGACGTTTTCTGAGCGACGAAGGTGCAGCCTTCACACTTCTTTTTCTTTTCGAAAATGGCCACGGACTTCTCTCCTCGCTCCTTTCTGCTAGGCGGTCGTTTTTGCCTGAGGGATACCACCACGAAGGAGTTTTAGGAGGTGGACATTGGGGGGTACCCAATACTGCAATACCGTAAGAAAAAATGGCAAATACCGAAATACCGCGTCGAAAATCGTCTAAATACCGATACCGCATATTTTAATCACATTCATAATCGGTTCCGCATACTAAAAGGGTGCTTCCATCTAGCGCGTTTAATTATCTCAGGCATTTATGCACCAGATGTCCATGCTTTTTTAATATTTTGGTAGTTGGCAAATTTTTGGCAAATTTTCACTGAAAAGAACCTTTTGGTAGGTCGACCCAACAGCTAACTAACTCCAATGAAAATAACTCTTGAAAGCGCGAAAAAAAACAAACAAACAAACTAACTAACTAACCAAAACCCTTTCCACGCACGTTCAGTGCGAGTTTGGATGAGTCTATAGTCTAGTATGTTAGTATCTCAGGGGTCAACTATCTCGACTGTCTCACACGCCGCGCCGGTAACAGGCAAACTTACCAGATTTTCTTTTTTAACTTTATAAGGCGTTTTTCAATTCTCGAAACCCGACATCTAAACTTACTCTTGTTGCGATAATGCTCGCCTCCTTCGCCCTCTTCATATAATATTGCCACACAGTCAATGATGACCACACCGTCTTCGCCGTCTCAGCGACCTCAGCTATTGTGAAAAAACGTGTAAGACCTCGAACCTACACAGCCGTTTTTAGTGTCGTCACGTAACGCTCCTCCCCACTGGGGAGGAGCGTTGCGTGACGACACTAAAAACGGCTGTGTAGCAGACCGGCACACGTAGCCTGGTAAGGTAACTTGAGGCGACTCATTGTCACTGGATGCAACAACAATCACATTGTATATTATCGACCATTAACTGTCACAAAATGACCCACAATGGTTTAATCATTTACCGTTATGTCTCAAGACTTCTCAATATTAACTTTTATTGACCTTTATGTCCTACTGTGTTTAGTTTTGCGTATTGTATCGAAAGGAAAGCGCAAATAAACGGTACCGTAATACCGTGAACAATCTTATTTCACCGAACACCGTCAGCCAAAATGATGATAAACCGCATACCGCAGAGCTAGATGATACCGCAATGCCGCACGTTAAAATTAAAATTACCGAAATACCGCATGAAAAAAAGCCCAATACCGCAATACCACAGGTCACTGCAGGTGCAGACTTAGCGAAAAGGGCATTCTCCATCTGAAATTTAAATCGACATGAAAGGCTATTGTCAGCCTTTTATCTCTTTTCCGCGCAACGTATTTGGTTAAAAGATGATAAGTAAAATGGCTGAGGCATTTTAACGTATTTTTTCATTTAGGCGTCGGATTTTGACGTTATGAAAAAAAAACTTGTCAGTGAATTGGTTTATTTTCTAGCCTGCGAAAGAGTGCCAGGGGGTAGTGGCGGAGAGAGCCAGGTGACTATTCCTTTATTCAGGCGGGAGTTAGCATGTACGTGCATTCTGGTCTAACGCCATAATGTGTAGACTGGCCTTTAATGGGCGGGGATCAGATCGTCAGCAGCAGGTTGAGGTCTAGCCAGAAGATACCCTTGCTGCAGAGGAGCAAAGCAATACTACTTTCAGTAATTTAAACATGTTAAATACTTTTATTTCGCTCATCTCATTGTCCATTGTCGATTTGTGGTTTTTCAGGAATGTTCTTTTGCGGAGCATTGGCCAATTTTTCTTTAAACAGTTTTACTCGTTTCCATTTCCCTGCTCTACCTTCATGTTGCATATGGCGTAAGTGTGTACCTAAAGCCCTCAATTCATACTGAGGAGATCGACAGACAAGTCTATACCCCAAGCGGGGTTAAGATTAGTTTATTACAATCAAAGGCTCAGAAGGCTAAGTGCAAATAAAAGAAAACTAGTGTGTAAAGTTTTGAAGACTCTGCTTACTCTATTTGTTTTCTTTCTCCGTTTGAGTTTCGGCTTGTACATCCTAAAATCAAGTTTTAATAGTTCGACATGTTTTGGGGAATATTCAATATAAAAATAATAATAAAAAACAGTGTTAATTGTCATTTTATTTTTCTTGTACACTCGTGCGATGATTTATCCTTGTCTGTACAGTTGCGTGACAAGACTCAAATCACACACGGGCTTTCATCACGCAACACAGGGTTTAGTCCGCGGCTAAACGGCTAAACGCACACGACGGAAAATTTCAGTAAACTGCGGCCACTTGCAGTTGAAACGACTGTGGTAAGTAAATTCTTATAGATCTCGTATCTCATTTAGAGCTAGCAAGCCGTTTCTAGCGGCTTTATTTTAGGTGCAGAAACTCGAGGTCAATATTTACACTCAACACGAAATTAGCAGCGTTGTCTTTTTCAGCTACTTGCGTGCAATCAAATGCAGTGTTAATCTACTTAGTTCTTTTTTATAACCATCAAATTGAAAAGTGTTTTTCAAAAGATATTAAGAGCTTCCCGTAATGTGCCCCTCATAAAAGAAGCTAAGTATGCAAAGACGTTTGTGTGCCTACACTCGCGGCTAGTTTGTTGCAGCGTTCCAACGTGCGAAACTACCCTGCACGTTTCGGTGTCTCAGTGACGCACTTTTGTAATGCCGCCAAAAATTTTTTAACACAGGAAACGGTAAAGGATGTGCTTTATAATAGTGTTTGTTTCATGTTGAAACTCTGTGTACCAATTAGGTTTTTTCGATGGTGAAGTTAGCTCAAATTTGCCATTTTTGAAGAGAGCCGAAATCGTGTTTCTTCTTGCGACCGACACAGTCACATTTAAATAGCTTATCTGAAGATAATTGCTGAATTATAAAGTACAAGTTTGTGTTTGCTTTGTGACTTGATTTCATTGAGAGATATCATCCCCTTTTTATGTACCAGCGCGAAGAAAATGCCTGATTTTCGCTAATTTCGTACTCGAAAGAGCGCCGATTTAGCGTTTTTTAAACTTTGCCCGATTCTGGAAAAAATAAAAAGCCGTTACAAGTTTTAATGTGATTTTTGAAATAAGTGTACTATAGAGATTATTTGGGCAAAATATGAAGGAATTCAAAAATTCACGACTGTCGATCGATTTTCGAAAATTACAGACATTGGCTCTTAAAACTCACAGCTACCTCTCCCGCCAAATACAGCTGCTTTACATTCACTGCAAATACAAACTCTCTTCTTCACTGCGTTACAAAATCTTAAAATTTAGCCCGCACAAAAATTCACGGTATCTAATAGTTTGATGGTCTTCACACGTGTAATAATCGTTAAAATTGGTACAGAGGAATCCGGCTTATACGGACACCAAGGCGACATGCCCTAATGTCCGTATTAGTAAAGCAGGCTCTCAGAAAAAAAGGCAGGGTTACATGTTTTATCGCGGATGTGAATACTACTGAAAGCAGACATTTTTTACGAGAAAACGATGTTTTATTTCTTAACTGTAACCACTGGTATAACAAGTTCATTCTAGAGAAATCTCACAGTCATTCATCAAAGTTTATTATATTCCATTACCTTTTAAGAATTAAGCGAGCCAGTGATTTTAGAAAAAAATTTATAGCCTTTTCATCAGGACAGACGAAACTGCCCGTAATAAACAGGTGACCAATGCATATATTGCATGTATTGTATATATTTTTTCCACTGTTTATATTGCACTCTGCTACAGTATAAAAGTGCAAGTCGAAATTACCAAATATGGCGTGTTATTTTATTTTTATCAAAGATGCAACATTATCATAGTTCTCACTAAGCCTTAATTTTGAAACTTCTACAGAAATGCACAACAAATAAAATAATAAAAATACTAATTTTGTGCAATTAATTACGTAATTGATGGCACTTGTAATCATATGTGCACTAAATAAATCAGTAGGAAAAGATCCGTTGAATGAAATGACCACATGTAGCCAAAAATCGATTTGTCTAGATCTATAGCCTAGACAAGCAAACATGTGCATATTTACTAAACACTCTTACATATGGATAATTACACCTAACAACTCCTAATCTCATCTCAATCAAAAATAGACCAAAAAAAACTAAGACTGAGAGAATTTTAGAATATTCGGTTTAAGCCACCCCCTCAACCACCCACCCAGTCGAGAGCTATGACCTCTCTTATTTCTTTCTCGGTAAGACTGTTGAATGAGGAAAGAAAAGTAATGCCAATATGTAGACAACAAAACCGTTTCTTTTGTTTGTAGTTTCCTCTGCAGCTTTAAATCATGAGTGTCCTCGGAAAATCAGCTTTTTCTCCCACTCTAGGGAGAACACCGTGTAACTTTTACAGCAAAAGGGCTGCCTTTGATGTGAGCGCCTCTCAAGCACACGGACAATGTGTACTGACCTGACCCCTCCTGACCACCACATATTAATATGAAACTCGTGAACTTTTGATCAGGGACAGTATATTCTGCTAAGTACGTCCCGTTGTCATTGTCTTTTACATCCACCTTAACTTCGTATTCTCCCTTATTTAGTTTCACCGCGTAAACGTCGCCACCTCGCTTGCGTTGACGGCTTTGGCTGTCGCGAGAAGTAATAGTGAATTTTGCCTTCCTTCCAAGGTTTGCACTTTTTATTCCCAAGCCAGTCGCAGTGGTGTTTGCTGCACAAGTTGATCTGTCACTGATGTCGCCTGCGCTCCGCCGGATAGCTTTCTCTATACTCTTGCCAAATGTAAAACCCGCCATGCCAAAAAAGAACTAAAAGAGTTCATTGCAGTCAGTTAAAAAATATACAATTTTCAATAACAAACGATCTACGACTTTTTTGTCAGTAGTTGCGTTGTTTAAAACTTTTACTTCAGTGCGGCGACAACTAGATTTCAGATTTACAATCTTCGAGTTGGTTCAGAGCTCCTTTTTAAAAGTTAAAGGTGTATTTCAAGGGAGTGACATCATCATGAGGGACGGGCTGAAAAGCAAAAGGATTCACCATCTATCTTCTCACTGTACCCCTAAGAGTCTTGGAGGGGGCGAGAGGCCTTTTTACATCTAGTGAATTTCTCTGCTGAGGGGACAAATTCAATAAGTTCACGTTAATTCATTAAGAAACGGTCCAGATAGCTATTGTTTTCAACTCTTGTGATTGGTCAAAATCTTTTAACACAGAAAAACACCCTTTCAAAGTGGAGTGTAAATGCATTTTATTGCGTAAACGGCTTTCATGTAGGTTTATGCATTCTCTGTGTATAAATGAGAACATTCCTATGTGGGGAAAGCACCGTTGCCGCATAACAAAAGAAATTGCTATCCACCTTACCCGGATCATTACTTAAAGTTTTTCTCCTGTACAATATTTTTCTCTTGTAACAGTCGACGCCTCAGTTTAGCATTAAGTTCTAGTATTCTATCTAGAAACAAACAAAAAAGGTCAGTTAAAACTTCGATTTGGGCCAACCATAATTATGAGGTTTGTCTTAAGAAATGAACGTCACGATCAACTATTTCTGTAAAATATATTGATTAGTTCAACTTTTGTCACAATATGGAACAATGAAACGTGAAAGGCACCTTGTGCTTAACGTTCAGAACCGCCTCAAAGATGAAAGGATCAGTCATATTTACTTTATATATTCACACCTCATCAGGAAACAAACGTTAACAAGAACCACTACAAATTACCTGACCGAAATTCATCTCAAATTGGTTGATACTAAGCAATGTTATCCTCGGGAACCCAACAGAAATCTGAACGGGATAGAAAATTATATTGTCTGGCCATGAACTGTTGCTAGAACTGAAACAGTTATTGAAATCTCACCTTTTCGTCCTGTGTAAACTCGGGTAAAAACTGGGCCTCCGGTTCAAGCAGCAAAGAGTAGCTTTCATGATTGGTCTCCAAAGTGGACACTATGGCCGGCCTATTGAGAAGAAAGTTAACATCGCTAGGAGATTGTATGGAGGACTTTGCTTGTTCAACTGCACTCTTTAAACATGCTTTGTTTAATCGAAAACGTTCTAGCTGCCCCGTGAGGATGGATTCCTTGGATTGATGTAGACTGACCAACTTAGCCAGTAGAACTTGCTCTCGGCGATTTATTGCGTCACGAAGCTATAAGAAACAAACACACTCACATATTCCCGAAACTTCTCCAAAGCTAATATAACTTGCATGCTGCCCCTCAGCAGCCTGATATTTGAAAACTAATAACAATATGATCCCTCACTGATGCTTTTATTTTAATATTAGCAGCAGTTTAGCAGTTAGTGTTATTCCAAAGTTAATCATTTTGCGGGAGGTCTACTTCTTCGTATACGTATCTAGTTCAGTGTTTCGAATCACTGACTTCTGCATGTCACTTGAGTGCATTTAAAATTATTCTTTATCTCAGTAACTGCTAGCATAAACCGTTTTTCATTTTTTGATCATGTTACTCGTAAGTCGTTCTTGTAATCCCAGGAAATTTTTGCTGCTTCGATTTCATTCGAACTAATAACGAAGACATGCCTTACTTGTTGAAAATACTCTTGAATTTCATCATTCCTTTCTTCGCAAGCCTCCTTCATAGAAACACTTGCTCTCAACACTTGACCTTCAGCAGCTTTAATCTTTTCGACTTGAGAGCTGGCTTTGGTGACAAGCGCCTCCATCTCCTGTCGGTATTTTGAAGCAGCTTCAGCTACAGTTACACAGTTGTGCCCGCTATGATTAAGGGCGTAACAGTCTCTACAAATAACACGACCACAATCTTGGTCAAAAAATCGGAATTGATCGTTATGTTCTGGACAGAGAACAGATACAGAAGCCAGTTGAGGGTTTGCTTTCAGCTCCTCGAGGGAAACAACCCGGTGGTCACGACTTGTTTTGCTGCGTTTATGAAACTGAGCCGCAGTTTTGCACATATTTTCTTTGCAGTCAAGGCAACAGAAATTGGCAGGGTGTTTCTCATCACAAGCTTCACATTCGTGAGAGCCGACATGACCTGTATTTTCAGCATGTTGTTTGGGTGCCGTTTCGTTCACGATGTCCAGTAATGCAAAATTCTTTAACAGACCATGGACTCCAGAAGGAACGGCAACTGGATTTCTGCATTTGGGACAACCAATGGTGTTACCACGGAGTAACCTTTCCAAACAACACGAGCAGAAGCTGTGTCCACAACTCAGCATCCGAGGACATTTGCTTAGGTCATTGTAACGTTCAAAACAGATTGAACACTCCGGTCCCTTGGATGCCATTTTCTATAATAGATAAATAGTAAAAAAAAAATTCACATTTGGGAATTTCGAGGTAATTTTCACTGAACGATAAAAGAATGAGAAAAAGCAATCTCTCAAATTTGCCACGTTTTTGTCGACCCTCTTAAGCATTATTTTCGCTGGCAGAGAAACGTTTTCACAAAAATTGTACATCATATTGCCATACTGTTACGCAAAGAGCAACGTTTCAGATCACTTATCTTCAACTGGAGTTTTGAAAAATTAAAATAAAATACCATAACAGATGACCAAAGAGAGCAATAGCTGATTCACTGAATATGATGTATATGAAACAATTTACGAACACTTAGGCTGCGTGCAAACGGGCGCAACATTGTTGAATAACAACTGCCAACATTGTTGGATGTTACATGTTGCGTCCGTCGGCACACCCTGTTGCATGTGGTTGTGTAAGATGTAATTTTGTGAAGTTTGACATTTATTTTCTCGGGCTCCCATAAGAAATTTTCTTTGGTGTTATTACACATAACTAATTACATCTAAAGCCTTTGAAAGATGTAAAAAAAAGAATGCAATATTCTTTAAATTTTTCTGGTAAAAGGTTTTTGTCCACTGAAAATTAAAATTACTGAATTTTCTAGTTGATTCCGTGTTTCACATAATTCAGAGAACTACCATAGCTGAGTGAAACATAAAAATAACTATACTCAAAACATTAACCAACAGTTTTTCAAAGTTCATTTATGTTGTTTGTAACATTTGATGTACTGCTTGGAATACATATCTGTTTGACACGAACCTGAAATTTGGCCATTCGCAAGTAATTTCTCAAGTTCCACAGCGAAAAAGGAATCGATCTCTACAATTCTTCAGATGATACGAAAGCCGAATTCAATAATTGTTAATTACTAACGAAATGAGTTAGCCAGCCTTGAAACAACCCCTTTTATAAAGCAGGGAAAATTCAGACGGTCCGAGTTGTGTTATTCAACTGTTTCAATTGTTTATTAATTATTGCAAATTTTACAGCAACCAATATCCACTCCCCGCAGTTATAATTAGCAGATTAGCTAATCGAGGCGAGCAGTGGTTACACGCGTGTTATAATATACAAATAGCTCACAAGAAGCAAGACTAGAGAAAAAGAGTAGAAAATCTTACATAAATAAATAAAAATAAATTCAATTCAATTAAGTTTACAATCATGTACATTGCAAATATAAGAAGCCGAGTTTTCACTTCTTTTTTGATAAAAATAATATTAATTAGATGTGACTTGTTAGACGTTTTTGACAGAGGCCGCAAACGACTCATTCACTCAACCAAGACTACACTGGAAGGCGGTATTGTTTTGGCACTCGTGCATGCATAAAGAATAGTCTGATCAACACTAACAGTATCCTGCAGTGTAATCACTAATATGGAAATTTGTCCGCACCAAGAATTGCCATAAAATAAACTTTAAATACGTCGTAGATCTTGACTAATACGCCGGGTATATAAGAAGTAAGCAAACCAAGGGTAACTCAATTGTTCCTATGATTCGTGTATTATCTAGACACCCAGTCTTATCATCATTTCGTCGTAGAACTTTAATTGCATGTAGCCAGCTGTGTAGCTCTTTTTTACATAATTTTATCACCTCATTGATTCTGGGGTTTTGCCCTTCTACGGAGTTTCGGTTTCGCGTTGTTGTAACATGAAGTGATGTAACATTATGTGCTTTCTACAAATAAAAACATTGTTATAGAAAAGGCATCTTAATTCTGGGTTAAAACGTCTTAAGATTCCAGTCAGTCAAAATAGAAAAACTGCGTACATTCATTTCAGTGATTTCACTATCAAAGGCTGTTTCAAAATAACATGGTGACTCATGGTGAATTCACAGTCGGTGTTTACTAGATCGGTAATCACAATCATGACGAGTTGTTTGCTGTAAATGTAGATGATTGTAATGCACAGAAATTCAAACTCCCCTAAAAATTTATTAAACATATGAAAGAAAGATGAGTTATGAGTTCCTTAAAATGAATATGACTGCTCAAAATCAAATGAAAAAAGACTTAAGCACGGATTTAGGTCAATCTGTGTAAATTGAACGCTTGACTGTGCAGACGGCTGACCATATCTAGATTTCCGAATAATACTCTACCATATGATGGAAAAGGCTAAGGTTCATATATCCACCAAGACATCGTGGTAATTTAGCAACTAAATTTCATCCTTTATCGCCAAACCCATTTTCACTGCTAAGATTTATGAAGAGTGTAAGAAAGAGCAAAGCCCCGTGTAGTAAACGGACGCAACATTGTTGGATGTTACATGTTGCGTCCGTCTGCACATCCTGTTGCATGTTGTTGCGCAAAGTTTAAAACCGGTCAAACTTTTAGCTTCGTACCGAACGGACGCAACAACTCCCAAAGATGCTGGGAGTTGTTGCGTCCGTTGCACGTGGCTCAGTCAATGAGCCCGTATTCCACCTTCCATTTGTCATGCTAAAAGGCAATGTTCAATAACTAAAATGGTTTCATTTCACGTTCTTGTCTTATATATATTAGATCAAGTTTAGGTGAGAACTGCATGTCATGTCTGGGAAAGCGAAGGGTGAAAGTCAGATGTAAATATTCGATGGCACCGAGGATTTTAGGATTTAGAGTGTAACAGTCCAAAAATGACCGTAGCTATTGTTGGGCGTGTTATCAGTAGATTTTATTTTGCAAGAAACAAGCCCTACATGCCTTAAGTAAGGGAGAAAAAAGCCCGCTGATAACTGCAGACGCAAGTCGGCCAACAACTCGGCCAGCATTGTTGGATGTTACATGTTGCATCCGTTTGCACACTCTGTTGCAAGTTGTTGTGTGTTGTTGGGAGTTGCTGCGCAACGTTTGAAACCGGTCAAACGTTTAGCTACGTTCAAACGGAAGCAACATATATTGTTGGCCAACAACTCCCAACATTGATAGGAGTTGTTGCGTCCGTTTACACGTAGCTTAAGGCGCCTCAAGAGAAGAACTTAAATCATTACGCTTCGTGAAACAACACTTCCTATTGTAACTACTAACACGCGGCTTACACTTTTTAGTCAGCAAAGATGAATTTATATGCTCACAAACGGACCTGGAAAGCGCGGTAAAGCTTACTTTTGAATGATAAAAAAATAAGGGTAAGATTTGTGGATAGCCCCATGCGTTTGTTCTGCATATTGTGTCGACTCTATTCATATAAACTGTTTGGGCGAAATAGCGTAGGACGATTCATAACAATGTCTTCGTAATTAACTCACTCTCTCTGGGATTAAAAGAATTACGTTTCCAAATATTATCGAGCTGAGCGATGGCAGAATTTCAATTTTGACTATTCTGTTTCCTTAAAAAAACCCTTTCCTCGATATATTCTTATTAAACAAGTTGTACTTACCTTAAGTGAGGCAAACAACTTAATGAAACGTAAGAACCTATTTGACCACGATCTCTCCACCGATAGCACTACTGCCTTAAGGCTCATCTCCGGTGTAATATAATTCAGTTACTCACACTGGAATGACGTAAAACAAAGAAAACAAAATATAGTTCCAGTCATTAAGAAGGGGTCATCCCCGGTCTAGTATAACATATTCGTTTTCTTTGTTTTACGGACTATTGTCAGCGTTTAAGGTTCATTCAGTAAGGATGTTAGTCGTGGAAAAAAAAAATCTTTTACTTCCTCTAAGGGGAGGGTGGGGAATACATGATGCTTTTGAATATGAGATGTGTTTTGAGACGCTCTGCAAAAGCCTTACTTGAGGTTTTATTGTTAGTTCAGTAATAGCAGATACACGGAGCTCACACTGGCAAGCACACTAAGAAAATCTAATCTATCCAACAAAGCCTTCGAAAATTTAAAGTTTCACCCCATAGGGTATACCTAGGTATGCTTAAGTCCCTTCGTTCCCAGGCCAGCACGGTGTTTTCGGTGGAGTTTCAGCCTGCTGCCTTGTATAAAGGTGATGCAGTATGCCAACATGACCTCAGCGCAAATACCTCTTCAAAATCTTCTTTATATTAGCTATGGGGGAAGCCGGCAGATTCTCAAACTAGTGAATATTGCCAGTGTGTCCTCAGCAACTTGCGGCTATGATATCATCACAAATATTAATGAAAGCATGCACAGATAAAGCGATTGTGCAATATGAGCCAGTACGTAATAAACTCAAGAGTTTAAATCAGCTTATGTTAAAGCCTTCTAGTAAAAAGTAACCTGGGGGGTACTCCCTTATATAAGCCACATAGGTATATGCAGCTCCAAAGGGAATGGTTTTTGAACCGTTTTTAGCTGAAAACAGGTATAGAGCTGGTTTTGCTCATTTTGGTCTGGAATCGGCTAGGGTTTTCGAGGGAACTACGGGAGGGAATGAATGTATTCGTCGTTTCAATTCCAAATGAATAAGAAAGAACAAGAGCCATAATGGCTCTTGGAAAGAAAGAGTACTATGTGAAATCAAAGTTTTAAGAAAACCGCTCTTGTTGGTGCCTTTCTAATCTCAGCCTGATGACATAATTTCTGTCTATGTTAACATGTGCGTTGCGTTTTTGACCTCTTCCAGGTCTGAAAACGGGTATGGGTTTTAGTGGCAAGTTCTGATATGACTTTTTTTGGTTTGAAATAGGGTCAGGATTTGGAGAACCGTGCGGCGCACCCCACAAAGAATTGCCAGGAGTACTCTCCAGAAAGTAATTAACTTATTTCTTATAATTACGTTAGTTCTTTACCAAATATGAGGTTGTATAAAATAGGCTTTGGAACAAATGATTTTATGTACTTTCCGCGAAGATCAGCCAGAATCGTTACCCCATTTAAAACTGTTCTATCGCAGCTAATGATCTAAACAGTTTTGGATTGAATTTGAGTTATTGGTGCCTTACTAGTTTCGAATCAATGAATTCGTCTTTCCTCAGAAAATGTGCTTTTTGGGACTTTAACTGCAACTGCTCAACTGTTCTATAATTATTGGAACTGAAAGCTTTTTTAGTGGGACTGCAGGAGCAACAACCCTTCCAAACATTTACGGATTTAAAGTGATGTTACACGGGACGATTCGCAACGACGATTTTTAGTGCAACAGAGCGTTGCAACATTGTTGCGACATCACAGGTAACCCAGGCTCTGTGATAGTACCACAGTACGGTTCCAGTAAAATTACAGTGTTTGTATGGGGTAGAAATATCATCCTAAAATTTCTAGGAAATACTAAATAAAGATCAATGAAACTTACTCTGCAGTTAATCGTTGTTGTCCTTATTGCTCCAACGAAGTTTCGTGATAATTTGCAGTAATTTGTTCAAATTCACTCTATCTACAATAATAATATACAAGGTAGGAAACACGAGGTGCCATTTTCGCCGACATGCTCTCATTCAACACAACTTTTTCCACGAAATTCGAACTCCAACGGAAAATAAACATGCCAGAATCGTAGAAATAGGATAGCAGCAGATATTGAAACCAATGAAGCTTTCCCAGATAGAGAAACGAATCCCACAGACTTTGACAAACTCGAAGAATATAATCCAAACACACCGAGAATACGCTCGCCGAAGCAGCCGGGTCAGATTAACGCGCGGCCAAGAAAATGAAGCCTGGGCACTGTACAAAAAATTCCATCCCGGGAGTCCTGGGGTGACCTTTCTAGGGACCGATACATCATTTGCCCAAAGCCACCCTCCCCTGCTGAAAAAATACTTGATAGAAGGCAATTGTTCTTCCTAGCCAATCACCATTTGCCAGAGCAAACCCCGCACACGCGCCTGAATTTAAATGGCTAAAAAAAAAAAGTAATATAATCAGGAGAGTCTGCGGAGTTACAAGGCGTCCAATTTCTTTTACTAAGGAATGCAAATAACAGTAATGAAACTAATGAAAGAACAACGCGAAATGCTTACAAGGCGGGCTAAAACAAGGTTGAACAAAAGGTAGATAATGACTGAGATGCTGTTGTTTTGAACTCTCGAGTGAAACTATCGTAAATAAACGGTGATGCTTACAAACTAATGTCAAAAATTATACAGAAAATTGCGACAGAATATGAATTGCGATAACTGAGACGAATGTGAAAGGCACGTGCACTAGTAAACAAAGAACTAGCGCGATTAACATATTTAGCGATTAATGCGGCAGTAACACGCCGACTTCTTGTCAATACAACTGAACGTTCTATCAGTTAAATATGTGAATCATCGTGATACACCTCTCTTTGAATTTGGTCCTGTCGTACAAATGCCTCGGTAAGAGCCAAAATTCACTTATATCTTTTGCTCGTTTTAAGTTTTGTAAATCGTCCTTCGTTGTTCTTTCCTTTGCCCTTATAACCTTGCCCTATTGATGTTTGATAAACTTTCTGAGGACCAGCCCCAGGAGCTGAATACAGTTCGAGATGAAAATAATCTCTTTATAACAGGCCATAATGATTGGCTAGGAAGGACAATCGCCTTCTATCAAGTATTTTTCCAGCAGGGGAGGGTGGCCTTGGGCAAATGATGTATCGGTCCCTAGAAAGGTCACCCCAGGACCCCCGGGATGGAATTTTTTGTACAGTGCCCAGGCTTCATTTTCTTGGCCGCGCGTTAATCTGGCCCGGCTGCTTCGGCGAGCGTATTCTCGGTGTGTTTGGATTATATTCTTCGAGTTTGTCAAAGTCTGTGGGATTCGTTTCTCTACCTGGGAAAGCTTCATTGGTTTCAATATCTGCTGCTATCCTATTTCTACGATTCTGGCATGTTTATTTTCCGTTGGAGTTCGAATTTCGTGGAAAAAGTTGTGTTGAATGAGAGCATGTTGGCGAAAATGGCACCTCGTGTTTCCTACCTTGTATATTATTATTGTAGATAGAGTGAATTTGAACAAATTACTGCAAATTATCACGAAACTTCGTTGGAGCAATAAGGACAACAACGATTAACTGCAGAGTAAGTTTCATTGATTCTTATTTAGTATTTCCTAGAAATTTTAGGATGATATTTCTACCCCATACAAACACTGTAATTTTACTGGAACCGTACTGTGGTACCATCACAGAGCCTGGGTTACCTGTGCGACATTAGGGACTTTGATACAACGACGCGACGACGGTGAGAACGTCGCTTAAAAAGTGAATTTGCGTTCTTTCAGTCTATATCGCAATTACTCCTGCCCACTTACATTGTCAAATGTAGGCGAACCCTCCTGGAGTTGAATCCCTAGGCACCATATCCAAGTACAGTAAGAGAAATGAAATTTCGTCGTTGCTTGTTTACGTCCTCCGTAAAACGCGAAATTAGGCATTTTCACGTCGTAGTCGTGCAAAACCGGGCAGAGAAATGTACAAAAAGCATGGTGCACGTGCAAAGTTGTTGTTTTGCTAATCAAACCTATTGTCTGTTTGACGTTCTCGTTACCGTCCGAGTCGTTGGATCTTAAAGTCCCTATTGTTTCGAATGGTCACAACATTGTTCCAACATTGCAACGCTGTGTTGCGCTAAAAATCGTCTTTGCGAATCGTCCCGTGTAACATCACCTTTAGAGCGAAAATCCTCGCGTAATATATACTGACTGATCAAAGATAATGATCAGCAACAAAGACTTCTTTAAAAGAAAATGAATACTAACTCCTTATCAGAAAGTTAATTTAAAATTGATAACCTTGTTGTTCTTTTTTTACCGTATTTATTGGGCTATAAGCCGAGCGATTTTTAATATTTTTACACAAATTAAACTGAAGTTTATAATCGAAATTTGAGCCCTAGAAGGGGTCTCGGTAGTTTCTTTTAGCACTGTAATAATTTAACGATTAATTTAGCTATTTTATTGTTTTAATTAGTATGCTTTTGTAGTATCGCAGTTATGGTTAATATCAATAAATAAATAGATAAATAAATAATAATTCCTTTCAATGGTTCCGAACGCCTTCCCCATCAAAAGGACCTCTTTACTGCTGCCTATTAAAGCCGGCTTCTGCTTCCGCAAGTGAGGATTTTTAGCCCTTCAGTTACAACCATTACAGTTTGCATTTACTTGAAAATAAAGACAGCATAATTTTTAAGGCAATAGGACAATTGCACGATGACGTCATTTGACTACAACTACCAGAATCCTTGAGTTTGTTGTTTTCTTATGCAAATTAAGGCTATTGTTCTGTAATCCTCAGCGGGATTGACAAATTTAAATAACAAAGCAAAACCGAAATGAATTGTGGTAGTTGTAGTCAAATATCGTCATCGTGCAATTGTCCTATTGGAACATTGCTGCCTTCACTGAACATTACTCCCTTCAAATACTAGAAGTGCCTCCCTTTGCATTGGCGCCCCACTCTTGACTCAGAAATTTAAATAAGCAACCCGGGCGCTTATTCAAGCATTTACGAAGCCGACTTTTAAAATCACAGGAGCTTCAATAAGTGAATGCACAAAAATACTTAAATAGTTGCTTTAAACCAGCCTAGTCCCCAGGCGTTTTCGGCTCGGTCATTCCTGGACTCTACCATGATCTGTGACGTCACTGAGAGATACTCGCCGAGAACGCCGTTCTCTCGCCCACTCTCTCTCAGACTTCACGCGAACAACGGATCAAGAGAGAACGCCTAGGGACTAGACTGGCTTTAATCATAAACATATAGAAAAGAAACTTAATCATATGTTCACTACTAGAGTAGCCCAATGTCATTCCTGATAAAAGGAGAGATTTTCCACAAACATCTCGGAAGCTGGGCAAAGTCCCTTATGTAATTCTACAGCTTAAAATTATACCTACAAAAATTACTGTATTAACTTTAATCATGAATGTATTTTTTATGCCTTAACTTTATGTACCTATATATTGACTGAGTGGGAGGGCCGGACAGGAATATATTTGGCTCGAGACCTGGGCGTCTTGGAAGAGAACCAAATACTTTCCCGTCCGGCCCAACCTAACTCAGACAAAACGTTTTATTCTACATCAGACTCACTATGAAAAATCTGATTGGTCGAGAGCATTCAATCAATTCACAATAGCTTGAGAACTTGATATGATAAATGCAATATCTGCTGCAGATCATTTGCATTTATCATGTCAAGTTCAACGTCTGCCTGGTTACCAAGCCCCTTGGAGTGTTCTCCTCAGAAACAGAATGGCTGAACGCTTAGCTTCTGTTTCTGAGGATGAATTATGTCGATTTTTCTATTTTAATGTATACTTTATTCAGACAAAGGCCATGATATCATGAATTATCAAAACCTCGTGTCTGTATTATCTGCCTCAGCCTTCGGCTTCGGCAGATAACACAGACCTCTGTTTTGATAATTCATGATATCAAGCTCAACCTCATCCAATAATTGTTTATTATCACATTTTTTTATCACATTTTTTCCACGCTTTTTTTTCTTTTTTCCAGCCCTATAACTTAACGCCTATGGCCCTCAAACGGGACTTTTTTTCATTTGGTTTTCCAATTTTCGTTTCATTTTTAAAAAACCCTCTCGGAAGTGGGACGCTAACAGTATTTACACAGAGCCCAGCCTCGTAAGTTTGTAAATCCCTCTCTTTGAAGAGAATTTCTGTAGCCTAAATTGCAGTCCTAAAACTGAAATTAGTATGTGTAATCAAATGGTGACGAGTGAAATTAGGATTTGGACAAAACGCAGGTGAAATTATTCCCTAATTTCACGAGTATACCATTTGATTACCTATTAATATCATGGGTGACGAATTACGTTTAATAGCAATCGAGGATTTTTGACTTGTTTATCCTAGATCGTATCGATCGATCGTGAACTCCACTCTCTCAAACGTTTAGAGCTGAAATTTGGCTTAAGTTTTCGGAATTTTTCGACAACATACCGCTAAGAATCCTTCTTGATGTGCTCTTTCGTGTGTTCAGGTTTTCTAAAGCGTCTTTTTATGCCATCTTCATTCTGCATTTCATGACATTTTCAAACTTCGTCGTCATCTTGAAACGGAGACGTACGGTAGGTTGCCATGGCAATTTAGTAATTTCACATTAACGCTGAAATTTCGCGCCAAAATTAAGGAGTAATTCGCCACCTATGTAGAGAGTTTTAGATTCGAGTTTACCGCGAACCTCTAACCACTGGAGGTCACGTGACAAGTCTTTCTCGTCACGTTTGAGGTTTACGACGTGCGTTTTCAACGTGGGGAGGTAGGTTTTCACGTATGTCATTTACCTGAAAGCTTTTAGCGTATAATTCTTGTCTTATCCCACGTTATGATACAAAAATCTTGTGGAGCAAGTCTTCATCCATTAACAGAGGCACAAATTCGGACGAAATGCTAAATTTGATAAATCCTATTGGATCTTGAAAACAAGTGCCATTCATGGCTGCTGATTCAAAATGGCGGCCCTAATCTAATGCACCGCCAATCTGAATCGAATTATGTTTGAACGTCGAACCGCAAACGGGTAACCGCAAACTGCCGTTAGAGGTTCGCTGTAAACTCGGATCTAATTGCGCTCGTTTGAAAGTCTAACTTGTCAGAGTCGCACATGTTACAGAAGTACTAACCCCGCACATTTCAGTCATGCTCTTTGAATAAAGTCTTGAGTAATGCAAAGTCAGTGTCCGACAGCCGATATTTCAATGTTATCTTTAGAAAGGAACTCAGTTTTATCTGAGTTAACATTTCAGTATTTCGGACATGATTTTAAAACATTGAAGTTTAAGATCGCAGAAAACTCTATACAGATAAATGTTTATTCAGCCGTGCTACAATTTGTTTTACCAAGATTCATAAGCAGTAAGAAGTTCTGATCGTATTAAACCTTAGATGGGAAAACGAAAGCCGCTTAAACATTACTTTCTTGAAGTTTCCGTTCTTAACGAACTTAGTGTAAACATAAACTAGAATCAGGATATTAGTAATATTCAGCACAATAAACTAGAGCAATAAGTGTTCTCAGCTGCTTTAACATCCTTTAATTTGCACGTGCTTGTTTTTAACTAGGAGGATGTTAGTTGTCTATTCTGCTGTGAATGTAATTTTAAGTTAAAAGACTTGCGAACATAATATTTGAACAGTATTAGCATATCCAAACCACATATAAGCGAGCTTGTACACGTACAATTTGAATTGCCTCTGCGAATTACTTCGAACCAACAGAACTGAACTACTTCTGCACCTGTTAAGACAGAGCCATGTTGAATTACTTGAGTTGTCTACGAGTTAACTACGTGAGAAGATTAAACACACTTGAAGAGTTCCAATCCTACTGAAGTCCTTTCTGCTTTGCTCTACGGACGAGTTACTAACGACCCTGTACCTCTGGCGCGCATTGTTTGTGACGTTGGCCACGCAGCTCAGCGAAGTGTTCTGCCGAGCTTTAGTCCCATTCCGTCGCCCCGTCGATTATCCTTCTATTTGTCCAGCGCAACGCCGCGCATTTTATGAGAGTTAAAGACGAAGAACACCCTAAAAACCTAATGTCACAGTAGTCTCCGGGAAGCTCAATGTTGACTTGACTAGAAACTCGAAGCATACGAGAAAAACACAATGCTACATTGCATTTCTTCCTTGATATGTAAACCATAAGTTTGAAAATCAAACCATAGAAAGGCATTGCTTTGCCAGTGAAAATCAAACGTACAAAGGAACGGTGATTCATTCTTGGTGTTGAGTCTTTTTTAAGTCTCTTAAAGGTCAACAAAACCTACTTCTGAAAATCTAAAACTGAAAACCCGAGTAGAAAACGTGCGATTTTTGTCATGGAGAACATTTTTTTGCAGGAAAGTACAATATTCAAAGCACCAACCAAGTAATAGGACTGTAACTTTACGCGAGTTTTCGATTTCCCGCCATCCGATTTGATGCAGCCCGCGCTACTATCGTTGAGCGGATTCAGCCATGCGCGCGCAAATTTCTCTCCTGTTAGCTTGAGTGTTTTGACTATTTGAAAAGAAGTTAGGGCTAGGGAAAGGTGATCTTGGAGGGAAAGACAGATGGGAAAGAGAAAGAGGAAGGCCGAGAAGGTAATGAGGAAGGGACATACGGGATGTTTCCTATATTTCCCTAACAGAAGTTAGAAAACTGGCAATGGACAGAAACTGTTTCCGCTGTGCCGTCAAGGATGCCACGTAAGTAGTTAAAGTAGTAGATGTAGTATATAGCAAAGAAACTTGATACATTTTCATTGCATTGCGCATTGTTTACAAGAGACATGAGTTGTAAAATAACATATCTAAATATTATTATTATCTCGCAGTAAAAAACTTTGGGATGCTGTACACATTCCGTAGTCTTGAGCCAGTCAGTTTTTCAAAAGCTCCAAGGAAATAGCCTGCGTTCAGCTTTTGCATTACGAGTGAATTAAAGTATACACTGCAGAGTGCAGATATTTAGACTCTTTGACAAATGAAACTCTTAGTATCAAAAAAGTTGAACTCAAACGTTTTAATTTGAATATCAGACCTTAAAACGTGTCTTTTGATGTAACCTGTAAACCATAGAATCTCCAGAGTTTAGATAGTACAGCAGTTTTTAGTTGTTAAATAGGAATTATAACAAGCGTTATAAGATAAAACCGTTACAGTTTGAAATTGGTAGCCACAAGATTAAAGAAGAAGGTTCCTGTATGCAGTAATATAAAGAATAGTTAATTTTACAGTTCAACGAAAGCTATTTGGACTTAGGATACTAAGTAAATATTTCATGAATTATACAAACGGACGCACAGAAAACGAATTCTCTAATGTTGATTTAGTCTACTAGCAACACTTTGTACGCCTTGCAAGGTGATGATGATCCCATGTGTACAGTAAAAAAAGGGCTGCCTTGAATGGGACCTCGTAAGCGTAAGCTCAATGTGTTATCACCTCGCTTAGCACCTCAGGGACATGGACTTGTGCACAAGTCGACTTTTTTGAACGACGAAGTCGCGGCCGAAATGATCGACGACCGATGGCCGGTGACTCCAAAAAGCTGATGTAGAACGTCCAGCAGGGACAGTGTAGACTGTCATTCACAAAATATAACTTTTTCTCATAATGCGTCAGTTTTAAGCTCCACTACAGGATCGCCTGTTTTTTACCGTACGCGAGAGCCTTTGCTCGTCTCGAGTTATGAAAATGAAAGACCCTTATTACCTTCATGGCTCATTCTTTATTACAAATTATGACTTTTTTACATTTGGTACCGACTGCTTATCACATTTTTGACCTCAACGCATGCACGCAAATGAAATCGGCTCCGAGACAAAGCACTACGTAAGTTATTGTGGGGTAGGAGGCGGTAAGCGAAATACTAAACAAAAGAATTAGTGCGCAGCAAACAGCTGGGAAAAAATTCCTTGATAGACTTTCCAAAGTTTTCCACACAAATCTTAGCAATGCACACCAGAGAGCAGACGCTGGAGGGGATGCTCATGTGCTTAGAATACAATAGCCTCCTCCCTGGCTCCGCTCTGTTGAAAGGGGGTCTTCCCGCCCCTTAGTTCTTATCAATACCTGCAACCGCTTACCTTTCCAATTCACATGAATGAATGAGCCTGAATTGGTGACAGAAAACAGACAAATAAATGCTTTGAACACAATATATAGCAACGAATCTTGACATATGCTCACTCCCCAGTATCGCTACTTGAAATACAAGAAAGTATTATTTTCAAAAGTATCTTATCTCAATATAAATCCATTACGCAGCCATTTTCCTTAAAAGCGTTAACTACATTCTGCGAAGGCAATCGTGCCATCTTTAATAAACACTAATAGTTTCAAAAATATTTTTCTAAATAGGCTTAGTTTTATACAATTGTCATTTCATTGCAAATCCTTAAGACACGTGCGTTGTAAAATATCATGTAGTTTTTTGTCTTGTGAGTTAACAAAAGCAGTTATTATTTTCATTATTGTTATGATGATGATTGTGATGATGAAGCCGATGATGACGATGATGATTATTATTATTATGAAAGATATCACTTGTGGTGGTGTATGTTAGACTTTTACAAAGCGATGTTTCGCTGCTGGTCTTCATCAGGCGGTGAAATGACTACTGGTATCATCGTGTTTGTACTGATGCTGGAAATTTTGTTGGGGAGGGGCTACGAATGCTTACCGGTCGTTTCGTTACAAAGTCAGTTCGCTACAAGTGGTTTCGCTGCATATCGAAGTCGTTTAATTTTGCAGCAGAGACTTTTAGTATCGATTTGCCAAAAACTTGGGTTTTAGCGATGATGTTATAGATGTTGTAGCTAATTTTTTATTTCAGTTAATTTGTGTTTCTCCTTTGTTTTAAATTCATTAGCATACATTACTATACCTAAAAACAACGGAAAAATAAAAATTAACTGAAACAAAGAAATAACTACAGCATACATATGGATAAGGGAACACAAGCGATGGGGGAAGCTGTAAGAAACCTCTCACTTGCGTTCCCCTCCCTAACAAAACTGCAAGCTACTCAGTTTACAGCGATTGATGCATTACGAACGTCACTTATAAGACGTCAACTTAAATTTTTTTTTTTTTAACCAAGTTATAAAGTCTATTTACCCCTCTAGAAAGGTTGAGAAGTGGATGTTTCGAGGGCTAGCCCTTCGTCAGAGCGAATGGCTAAATTTTGAATTGAGCGAACCTCAGTTGTGAGGTCCGAAATGCACCAGTCTGAGCTAACACGTTAGATGTCACCAACGCCCGATGAAACCCTTTCTGCGCGCAGTAAGCAATGCCATCAAAATCAAAGCGACTGCTGTTGATTAATGATGTATTTCATTTGAGATAGGTCAGTTTGGATAATGTGATAAAACAGCCAAAAGGACCACGCGCATAGCAACTCTGAAGCCACAATTATACGAGAAATAGTTGATCTAACTTCTTCATTTCTTTGCAAGAAACCACATTTTCGAGACGCTGTTCGATAGTCACCGGCCGCAAAACTGACAGCTTAGAATATTTCGTCTGATCTAAACACCAGAAACAAATGTTTTAGCCTACTGCTCGGAATCTCTGAACAGAAAACGTCCATAAAAGTGTCGTTGTACACCTTCCATAAATGAACGCGACACATTTACAACAAAAGGGCTGCCGTGAATGTGAGCACCACGTAAGCACACGTTCAACATGTAAGAACCTGTCTCCGCATCTTCAGGGACAGCGTAAGTAACCGAAAATTTACCATTCCCTTCCTCCTCTATAACTCCTGTAGCCTGCTTGTTACCAAATTTGTCTTCGAGCTCCACCATAAATAAGTCGCTACCCAGAGACCGCCGACGTTTTTGAGCGTCATGAGCATTGATAGCAAAGGAGCTCTGCCTTCCCAAGAATGCCAGATCTAGCTCGAAATATGAGCATCGGCGAGCATCTGCACTGTTGGGTATCATTCGAAATATAAGGAATTGTATGGGAAAAAACCTATCGTTTCTGTAACCTACGGAAATGAAAGGATTTCAATAAGACATAGCTTACCTTACATAAAATGTGTGTTACGTCTCTCCTGTGTGGTCCAAGGGCCGATTTATGGCCGTTTCAGTTATAGGTTGAACTGTAAACGGTTTTCTCCCCCCCTTTTTTTTCAGGTTTTTTTTGTGGAGAGAATAAAACCGACAGTCTGTATCTCTTGCCGGATCTCTAGCTAATGAAGAGATGCAAATGCCAGACGTCACTTGAAGTGGCAATCAAAACAAAACTGAATACAGGGCTCTGTGTAAGGCTAATTTTGTTAGCCGAAATATTGGCCTCAAATAAATCACCCCTTTGCCGTATTGCCAGCCTTGCATTCCTTTTTGTTCTCGACTAGGTTGTCAAAGGGGTACTGGTTCAGCAAACGGTACAGTAACACATTCGTCACAATCCAACTGAATGACGCCAGTCGTATAATACTATTCGATTTCTTTGACGATATCCAGTCAGATCGTTTCCAGCAAATTATACAGGTCAGCAACAGGTAAAATTGTTCAAACAGTTCAGAACAAAGGGTCAGCAATACGTACAAACGTGAAAACAGGTAAGCGAGACAGACATTAGATCTCGGAAAAATTACTACTCTAAGCCCTAGTTATTTTACGCGGCATATTTACCTAATCAAACGTCAATCACTGATAGAAATATCAAATCAATTGAAATTACCTATTGTTCATCTTATCGACGAAAAAGGTACCATTTGTCCACGAAAGGGGTACCTTTTCTGTGAAAAATGGTATATAAAAGGGTGAAGGAGTTGGACCTTAGGGCGGACCCTTCCCGTTGAAAACTTTCTTGAGCAGCCCCTTTCGGGAGGAGGGGTCATAAACACAACTACTAAGAATGTGCAAAACGTCATTTCCGCCTCCGTAATCATTCGTTCCCGCTACGGTGAATTGAAAGGTCTTCAGTGAAGCCCATCCTTTCATAGCCGATAACGTAGAAATGTTATCGAAAAGCGTTGAAATAAGCCCATATACAACCTTCCGTATTTTCATTATAAAAAATGTAGCACAAAAGTTGGTTGCTTCTCGAGTAGTTCCAGTAGCCTGCGAAGCGTGCAGTTTTTTGGTGTGTTTTACGTCGTCTGGTGGTTCGTAAAGCAGATACAGCAGGATCCAGCAGCGCAAAAGTAACCTGAGATTAGCCCCAATTTTAGCAGTTTTCATACGAAAATAGAGCCTGATCTCAGGTTACGCGGTCAACAAAACAGGAGGGGGCGAGGGATGAAGGCAGAAAACCTTGGGTCTCGCGCCTGTATATCTCACTTTGCGAACTACAAACGAAAAAGACGCCAAACAACGGCCCGCATTTTTATTACAACGAAAAATATCGTAGCTAGATTACAAAAGAGTGGCTATTTTTAGAAAATGCGAAGGGTGTTTTTGACAGGCATATACTTTATTTATACTCTATTTATTCATTTATCAGATTACAGGGGAGATACCCTACCACCAAAAAAAAAAATTTCTGGTGGCAGAGCAGCCCAAATAGAAAACCATGGGGCTTATTACATTCAGGCTCAGATTAACAAACAATTCAAAGTTATTTAAGTACATAAATGACAAGAAAAAGCTAAATATAGGTAACATGCTTAAGACTGGGGTATAATTATCAATCAACAATATTGAATTGATTTTAGGGTATGTTATTATTGATTCTAATCAAAAGTATATTCTGGACTTATAATTAGTTGATCTTTTCAACTTAAAATGAATACTTTATTTCATCGCATGAATTCTTTTTATTAACTATGCATTCACGAGTTCACCACAGGTTTTACTTTGATTTAAGTTATCACCGTTCTGCAGCCGCCTATCCGGCTAAATTCACATGAGCTTTAAATTGACGACTGCATAAAAATTCTTGGATAAATGCTTTAAATTAAACACAATATATAGCAACAAATCTTCATATGTGCTCACTCCCCAGTATCGCTACTTAAAATACAAGAAATATTATTTTCCAAAGTATCTTATACAATATACCCTGGGTACCAGAGGTTTTTCACGCGTGCGGCGGGAGTTTTCGGTGTTGGCCGAAGGCCGACACATCTTCGGCCGTAGGCCGAAGCCGCAAGACTGAACCTCCGACACGGAGCGGTGCTTTTTACCGTCCCCGTTGACCTTTGAACTTTTTTATCGGATTACATTTACGCCAATCAGATTGAAAGTGTCCGACTGTGATCATGTGGGCCGGCACGTGAAGAAATGTCCAAAGACCCACATTATCCTTAGAAAGACAAGTTCGAGTTTAAAATTCATTGCTTTAAAAGCAATCGTGACTGGGTCAAATCGAAGTTCTCCATAACTGATGTAGCTTCAGTTTAAGCTGCAATCCATTCTTCGAGGTTTGGATCTGAAAATCACCATCCGTGAGAATTTAACATCCTGCTAAAAACGCTGACGAGCTGGGCCCAGCGTAACAAAACATTGCAGGAAACCGTCACTCCCACGGACAAAAAGAAAATCGCTTGTAATATTCAGATCCAGGAGGCACTTTGGAGAAATTAAACAACCTAAAACCCTCATTTAGCCGCATTGAAGAGCTTAACATTTCAAAAGAGGTCAAAGAAAATGCTCTTGCATCAGAGGGCAAATCATATGCCGACCAGACACAATAACCGCAGAAAATCAATATGCGTGTCACGACCTCTCAGTATGAAACAATCAGCAAAAATCAAATTTGCTTAGCCTGCGTAGCAGGTGTCGAAAGGGGTAGGGGTGCTTTTCTCCCTCCCCCTCTCCCTCCCGTTTTTGCGCCTGCCACGCAGGCTAAATTTGCTCAGTTGAAACGTTTTTCTCCAGAGCATAATCTACCCATCACGGAAAAAAATTCATCGGAACAAGCAGCATTTTGGCATGAGGTAAAAGTCGTGTGTTGCCTCCTGACCCCTCTTTTATACTAAGAATACATGTTTTGTTTTTATATTCCTAATCCATCAATACAAGCTATTTCAAAACATGTTGTAATCGTTTGAAATAGGAAATTAGTAAAGCTTAAACCGTATCGCAGCAAAAGCTGAATTGGTGATAATAGCTTAATTGAGTTGAATAAAATTAAATACTCCACTTGTTTGCTCATAGCTTTTAACTTGTCTACACCGTCAAACCCTTCCAGTTTATTGCTTATCATGCTCTTTCAAAACTTTCCAAAGCTGCCATCACAACACTCCTCGCGAGTACAACAACAGCAAAGTTGGAAATATTCTTTCACGTGCTGGTCTATTCTTGTCAACCAATTGTAGCGTCTGTTAGATTCAAAGTCCCTCAGGCGGTCGTTAGGAGCCAATCAGCCGTCTTGTCCAAAATCTGGACCAACTGATTTAACCGTGCTAACGATTGGATCGGCGCTCTGCTCCAGAGGCTTTTCGCGCGGGCCACTATAAAGACTTGACAGAAACCGGAAACCGCGCTAGAAAAGTCTCTGGCACCCAGGGTATATACAATATAAATCCATTAGGAAGCTATCTACATTAAGCTAAGAGCGTTAATTACAGTTTGCGAAGGTAATCGTGCGGTCTTTAATAACTACAGGACTACATGGGCTAATGATGAACACTAATGGTTTCAAAATATTTTTTCTAAACATGCTTAGTTTTATACAATTTTCTTGCATTGCGCATCTTAAGACACGTCACTGACACGTGATTTGAAAAATAACACGTAGTTTTTATCTTGTGACTTACTTAAAAGAATTATTATTATCATTAGTATTATGTATTATGATGATGATGATGATGACGATGATGATTATTATTATTATGAAAGATATTATATGGTGATCAGTATGTTAGACTTTTACAAAGTCCTTCGAAGGTCCGCGGTTTTGTGCCGCTTCCCATCCTCACTGAAGCTGGCTTTACTCGCCTTAGGGTTTCTGACAAAGTTTCCCGGGGTTACCAATAAAAAAGAGGTCCACTTGGTGCAAGTCTAGCTACGCAGCTGTGTGCATGATAGGCCGGTTTAGTTTTCGTCATTTGTTGCGACGTTTCGACTGCTGGTCTTCATCAGGCGATGAACGGACTATTGGTAGACAAGAAAACCTCGCTTAAAATTTGGGTTAATCCTGGGTGAAACTTAACCATCTTTCGAGGAAACAGGACCTGGATTAGCACTAACCGGCATTTCAGGAACCAGGCCTGTATTTTGCGATTATCCTACTTTTCTACCAGAAGGTCTTCGTGCAGCGAAGGTCGGTTGGAAGGTCTCCAGCCTTCCCTTTTTTCATAGTGTTCAGTACTCGATGGAAAGAAAGTCGACTAAACGGCGTTTAAACCGGCCGTAGGACACAGAGTGGCTATGAACTAAAGGTATTAGGGAGCTTTATGAATCAATATTGCGCGTGATCATGATTTTTTTTTCTCTTAGCGTCGTAGATTCGAATACATGTGATAAAATTCGAACAATAAGGGCCGTAATCACATGTATTAAGCAAGAAATATCGACCTTCGTTATCTTAAAGGCTACTAGTACAGATAGACAAACAAGAAGACTTCATATCTTTAAAAGTTGTGCATTTATTGGCGTCAGATAATACACTAATAGTTCTAGTATATTCCGACCAAATGACCTCTGAAGCCCGGACCCACACATAGTGCTCTTGGGCTGCCTGTGTTTACAACGGCAGCTACAAATAAATTATAAAATTTAACCTATCGATGCGACAAACAATCCTCCGAAGCACAATCTATCCGGTATTGACTCAAGTAATCTTCAAGGAAATTTCCTTGCCAGAATACTGACCCCTTCTTTTGACAAAATAAAGTTTTGTGATATTTCTTTTTCCAATTTTGAGCAGGCTTGTTTAACGTTGTGCAGCTTGCATGCTGCATTACTATTATATGAAACAGTAGGTCTATTTGGCTTAAGCGTAACATGAAAGAATAACCCATGCTGCGTGGCACCTTTCAGACCTTTGTTTGGGTTACTATCTCACTGAACCACACGGCATTATTCACCGCTCCTTGTTCTGCTTAAAATAATTATAGTCAAATTCCTTTTAAAAATAACCACTTTGAAAATACAAAGTGATTGCTTCGGCATAAAGCGCTCTTGAAAGCACCCAACAGATTGCAGCCCTCATCCGGCTTTACACATATATTATCACACATGGCGTTGAGATGTGATAAAAGATACAAAATTTCAGCCATCTTTGGTCGATAAAAAAAGTCTTCAAAATGTGGATACTTCTGGGTACTTCTTAGCCTGTACAATATTCAGGACTTCAGTTTGCTGGCGTGAGGTCCACATGTGGAAGACTTCATCATATAATCCAAAAAATCGTGAAAATTCATGACCTTGTTGTGGGTCACTCACTTTGTGATGCGAAGAATAAGTGCAACAATGATTTTAAATGTTTCTATGCGGAAACTTCGCCCTTGAGCCATTGCAAACCGGAGAAACCATGTCAAATAACAAAATAACACAATTTTCTTACTTTTACTGGAACACAGAGAAAAAAGCCGGCGAGAAAACGACCTTATTTCACGACGAAATCTGCCATGACTGCCATATTGCGTGATGCTTCTGGAAAAATGCATCATGGGATACTATTCGATCGTCGCCTGTTCTAACACTGTACAATCAGCGAATCGGACACAGGGTCCAGAGGAGATGTGTTCGTCGTTAGAACATCAAAACCCGTCGAAAACCTCTGAAAAAATGGGTTATTTTGATCGCGTTAAGGTTTCGTTACACATTCTATAGACCGCAAACCAAGAGACTGAGGGCTCGTAAGCGACGGCCTTCGGTCACCCTTCGGGCGACGTGCCGTGAGCCAGCGAGGATATGGCTTGCGGATTGATTTTCAAAAGGCGATCTGGGTCAGATAAGAAGCGAAGAAATCGTTTACAGCAGTAGATTTATAAAGATCCCATTGGGCTAATTAATCGTGCTAAGCGACAGGTATAGACATTTTTCAAGGTAAGTAATTCATTTATTCACACGAAACTCCTCTGGACCCTGTGAATCGGACCATAAAGTGAGACACGAAAATTTGGTTTTATCAACTGAGGTTAATAGACTTAATATAAAGTCTATTTACTCTTCTAAAAAGGTTAAAAAGCGGATGTTTCGATGGCTAGCCCTTACTTCAGAGCGGATGACTGAATTTCAAATTGAGTGAACCTCATGAGTAAGGTCCGAAATGCACTAATCTCTTAACTTCATGTCGGGATGGGGTCGGGATCATTTCGGGGGCCGTACAGATTTTCACAGCCAGTAGAAATTAACATCTTTCAGCTGTTTAATGGCTAACACGCGACCTGCGTTGTCAAAAACGTTTCCGGATTTTGGGTTTTTCCTCTACTTCAATTAAACCGTTACCATAGCACCCAATCCTAGTCAAATAAATGCGGCAATAACGAGCAAAGCTGCAAAATTAAATGTTGGCGGGAATGTACCGGTTCGTTTTCACCCTCCCATATCTCTGTTTCTTCTGTATTTAGAGGCTCTATTAGACTACGAGTAGTCCCCATTTTTCCTCAGGGATAGTAGAGCGAGCGAAATGCGAGCGCGGGTGAAAATCACCCCACACGAAAAAAGGCGACACGTTATGGCTCTACAGGAACAATTTAACTTTGGGAATCTAAACTTGCCATGTTTCAGTAAGAAGGTAAAAAAACTTGAGAGCAAGAACGTGAAAACACGTGAACTCTGAAGATCAAAACCAACGAACACAGATGAAAACACAGAAAAGGGATTGAAATCCACCGATCACAAATCGCAAACCATGACATTTTGAACTGTTGAAGTAAACTACTGTTTCCTAAGTGGTCTGCTAGAAAGCGCCGAGCCTTCAAATTGTGATCGACGTCGCAGAAAAACCGAAAATCCAAAGACGTTTTTGACATCACGGGTAGCGTGTTATCCAGCTGTAAAGCGTTTTATCTGAACGTCAGAGACAATTGTTTCAGAACTATTGTTCTAATTCTCTGGCAAGTACTCGGGCAGGACTAGTCAGTCAGGGGCACCCAACGTCAATTTTTGGAAAATATCTGTTTGGAAGACGATTTGAGATCTAGAATTTTCTAGAATTTTCTTGCTTGCCTGCCGCTCCTAGGATTTTCGAACATCTAAAAAATGCTACAATTGCCCATTTTTAACGGATTTTTACCCTAAAAAGGTCACCTAGAATTTTCGGGAGCCTTTTTTTCTGGCTTCAATTTTCGAAAAGGTAACTTTTGATCCCCATAATTTTCGGATCAATAGACTTTCAGCTAGGATTTCCGAACAGATGAAAAATTTTTAGGGGATAAGAATATTCCTATATCTACCATTAAATACTAAAATACGCTTAACAAAGCTATGTTTAAGTGTTTTCTTACTATATTATCTTTGGGCGCCCCTGAGTCAGTATACGTCCAAGACCTTCCATAAAGGAACGCGACACATTTACAATAAAAGGACTGCCTTGAATGTGAGCACCACGTAAGCAGACGTTCAACATGTAATAGCCTGTCTCCGCATCTTCAGGGATAGTGTAAGTAACTGAATATTTACCATCGCCTTCCTCCTCTATAACTCCATTTGCCTGCTTGTTACAAAATTCGTCTTTGAGCTCCACCATAAACAAGTCGCTGCCCAGAGACCGCTGACGTTTCTGAGCGTCATATGCAAAGATAGCAAAGGAGCTCTCTGCTCCCAAGAATGCCAGACGTAGTCCTACGCCACTAGCAAATGTATTTTCTGCACAGGCCGTGAAGTCTTCAATGACGCTAACTTCATCCTTGAGCGCGTCCAGCAGCTCTTGCAATTTCGTGCGATCAAAGATAAGCTTTGGTTCAAAGTTGACCTCTGGCTTAAGCAGCGTTGGTTGATTTTCTATGTCCCTGATCGTCGATTCAATAGTTGTCCAGGCAAGCAGATGCTCAGCGTTACCAGATTGGATGCTGGATAAAACACTCTCGAATGAACTCTCCATTCTTTCTTGAAATCTTCGCAGGCGGTCTTGCAGCTCTGTGAGGGTAGCTGTCTTGTTATTGTACTGCTCTTCCAACTCATTCTTCAGAGTTTCCTCTTTGGCGGTGATTGCGGCATGAATCTATAAAGCATAACATACATGACGTCTAAGAAATTATCTAAACAAATGGATCAAGAGAGCCAGACCAGAAGTCTGTCACTGAATTCTGATCGCTTTCTTGGTATTGTTGAATTTGTAAAGTCATTATTTGTTGTGGGATCTAAAGAAAAAATAATTGATATACAACAACATTTATTGGCATTTCCATGAGTAGATGGAATTGCCGATTACAATATTGATCATGTTAAGGTAAAGGAAAACAAAAGAAGAGAGCAAAATGCTGGCAGATGTCCATGTACAAGAAACAAGTAAATCAGTTATGAAAACGTTTACCACACACTTTGACGAGTTTTGACATTGGTACACACCTTATAGCTAGTCACTCATGATCTGGTTTTGTTCATTTGTAGTTCCCGCTCTTACGCAGTAAATTGCTGTACAAAACCTCGATTTAACGTAATGTATATAACTAAGTCCTCGGCAAGCTTCGGTATGAGAAACGATATTCTTCACTCGAGTAACAATAAAATATATGAAAAGAGCCTCGATACGCCGTATAACATTATTGTAAACAGCATTTTGCCAGTCCCTTGGCTTATATAGTCGAGGTCCCTCTGTAGTCGAAATCACATTCCTTAAATCTAAATTAAACGGTATAAATATATGCTTATTGAGTAGGTCTGGCTTGTCAGGGACTAGCTTACCTACGTATACAGAGCTGCCACCACAGGGAACCCGAACGCTGCATTAGCTAATAAAATAATCAGTTGCTATTTACCTGTGGTTCCTTAGTCGTTTTGAACGTAGCCTGTTCCAGGCTCTCAGATAGTGGGGAAGACGCGAAAGTAAAAGGCACGTGAAAAGTTGACGGGGCAGGAAAAAGGAAAAGGAAGGGAGAGAGAGCCTGAAATCAGTTCTTTTATTAAAGACCCTATTCCCCCAATTTTGGCACGTTTGAGATAATTATCTTTGTTCAACACAGAAGCTATCGTGGATCCCTCTATTTCACGTGCCTGGACGCCGCACGCCATCTTTCTGAGTGATAGGAACGACCCGCTTTGAGAGTGTTGATATAATCTGTCAAATCTGACCAATCAGAGGCTATACCAGGAGCTGGTATACCGCAATAGGTTGCTTAAAGAAATGATTACAGGCTCCGCCGCCCCCGCTCTCCTCAGTTTCTTCCGTTGTATTTTCTAATTCGGGCTTTCTCAATTCAGCGGACCATCTCGGAACAGGCTATTTTGAAAGGGGTTTGAATCTAATTAGAGACGCTTAACATTGCTAGTATCAAATGCTTGCTTGTCTGGCGCGTCGTAAATAGGATGCGGCAATTACTAAAACAATTATTCCTCTCGCCCTCATGGCCTCTGAGTCAATACCCGATTTGGCCTTCGGCCTCATGGGCTATTGACTGAGAGCCCATTCGGGCTCGAGGAATAATTGTTAAATATTACGCTTGAATACAAAGGCTTAAATAGCATTCGCGCGCACGCGGGTATTATTTATCTCTCACTTTCAACAGTCAGCGATCTGACCAATCAGATCATGATACCAGAATCTGGTATCATGGATGGGCGGCATCAAAGGAAAGTCTAAGACTCTCCCTCCTTTTTTCTCCCCCAGGCCACCCTCGCCTAGCTTCCCTCACCGATTTCCTTTTTCGCCTCGCTCCTTTTGCGGGCCTGCTCGCAGGCTACCGGGAAAACGAAAAAATAACACTAAAGGTAAATACGGAGCCATTGACCCTTCATTTTCTATGAAATAATAGTGAAAATCATATATAGGAACTGAGGCAAGAAGAATTAAATGAAAGAAGATCGTCGCAGTTACGTTGGCACGCAACTTCTGCGGTTGCAAAAAAAGCCTTAAAGAATTCAGGTTTTCTTTCTTTTTTTCCATTCGCAGCTGACAAACTAATGACTATAACTGCAATGATCTTCTTTGATTTAATCCTTTATTTTCTGTTAATAACGAAGCAAATGTTTAGGTGGGCAGGGTCTCCGTGTAACAAAGGGAAACTTACCTCGGTGAATAACCTATGAATTTGGGTACTTTGTTCTTCATACGCGATTTTTATGTCAAGACTTGCTTGCTTCAGTTGAGCATCTGCATTTTTAATCTCCTCGGAACGAGCGTCAACTTCAGTGACAAGTTCCCTCACCTTTGGACGGCACTTTGAAGCTGCCTCTGTTAAGGATGAACAATTGTGACCTTTGTGATCAAGCTTTATGCATTCTCTACAAACCAAATGACGGCAATCTTCGTCAAATAAAAGGAATCGCTCTTTATGTTCTTGGCAGAAAACGGTCACAAGCGACGACTCCAAGGAGACAACTTTGTGATCACGACTTGCTTTGCTGCGAGTGTGAATGCCAGCTGCAACCTTACACATATCCTCTTGGCAATTCAGGCAGAAAGAAGTCGCAGGATGCTCAACATCACAAGATTCACAAGTGTACAAGCATTCAACGGCTTCTTCGTGCTGGGGTGTGACATTTGCATTAGTAATGTTCAACAACGCAAAGTTCTTTGGTAGCCCTGCTACTCCAGCTCGAGGCACGTTAACTTCATCTCTGCATGTCGGGCAGAGAATTTTGTTATCTGCAGCCTGAGCAAGTAAGCGCTCCAGGCAGCCGGTACAAAAGCTATGACCACAACTCAGAATACGAGGGCAAATATTTTGATCATCATATAGCTAGCAACAGACTGGACACTCAAGTCCTTCTGCAGACGCCATCGCCTGAAATAAAACAGAAAACATGTTGGCACTAAACCTCTGCACAGTCAGGCTAACGAAGTAATCCTGAGGACAAAAATCATGGGTTTTTTTGGAACTGCGGCAGTATTAGCTAAGGCGGTGGAGTGCGATGTGCTGCACAGTGGCAGGTCGCGCGTTCGATCCCGGTGCCGGACCAGGCTTTAACATTTCTGAGAACTGGAGGTACTGCCTTTGCCCTGCAAACGGCCAGACCTTCGCATGCCCCGGATAACCACTTAGAAATCGCGGTCCTGTCTCCAGTGGGAAACGTAAAAACAGTGTCCTCACTCAGTACTTTTGTCCAAAATACATTCACACTTTCCATTCGATTCCCTTTCGAACGCCCGCCAGACAGGTTAAAGAAACATCAGACTAAAGAGTGTGTGTCACATGATTCAGAGAACTATCTAGACTGCAAAACAATCCGTATTTTTGCGTGATTAAGTACGCGCAAGCAGTCAACAAAAGGTCTGGAACGAGGCTGAAAACAGAGAGGGAGACTAGGGAGAGACGCTTGTTTTTCTCTCGCCTCACAGGCCCGTAGGGCGTGTGAGGCTCGCGCGCCTCGCGCACGTAGGACTCTTACGCCACGCTTTACCGATTTCTTTACTGATTTTGAGAAAAATACCGACTGTTTTACAGTCTAAGAACTACCATAAAACTGAGTGAAACATAAAAATAACTACTCAAAACATTAACCAACAGTTTTTCAAAGTTCATTTATGTTGTTTGTAACATTTGATGTACTGCTTGGAATACATATCTGTTTGAACCTGAAATTTGGTCATTTACGAGTAATTTCTCAAGTTCCACAGCGAAAAAGGAATCGATCTCCACAATTCTTCAGATGATGCGAAAGCTGAATTCAATAATTGTCAATTATTAACGAAATGAACTAGCCAGCCTTGAAAAAAAGCCTTTAATAAAGCAGGGAAAATTCAGACGGTCGGAGTTGTGTTATTCAACTGTTTCAACTGTTAATTAATTATTGCAAACTTTACAGCAACCAATATCCACTCCCCGCTGTTAGCTAATCGAGGCGAGCAGTGGTTACACGCGTGTTATATAAATATTTACAAACAGCTCACAAGCAAGACTAGAGAAAAGGAGCAAAAAAAGTTAAATAAATAAATAAAAATAAATTCAATTCAATTAAGTTTACAGTCATGTACATTGCAAATATATAAGAAGCCAAGTTTTCACTTCTTTTTTGATAAAAATAATATTATTTAGATGTGACTTGTTAGACGTTTTTGACAGAGGCCGCAAACGACCCATTCACTCAACCAAGACTACACTAAGAAAGGCGGTATTGTTTTGGCACTCGTGCATGCATAAAGAATAGTCTGATCAACACTAACAGTATCCTGCAGTGTAATCACTAATATGGAAATTTGTCCGCACCAAGAATTGCAATAAAATGGACTTATAAATATGTCGTAGATCTTGGCCGGGTATATAAGAAGTAAGCAAACCAAGGGTAACTCAATTGTTCCCATGATTCGTGTATTATCTAGCTAGACACCCAGTCTTATCATCATTTCGTCGGAGAACTTTAATTGCGTGTAGCCAACTGTGTAGCTCTTTTTTTACATAATTTTATCACCTCATTGATTCTGGGGTTTTGCCCTTCTATGGAGTTTTGGTTTCGCGTCGTTGTGACCTGAAGTGTAACATTATGTGATTTCTACAAATAAAAACGTTGTCATAGAAAAGGCATCTTAATTCTGGGTTAAAACGTCTTAAGATTCCAGTCAGTCAAAATAGAAAAACTGCGTACGTTTATTTCAGTGATTTCACTATCAAAGGCTGCTTCAAAATAACATGGTGAATTCACAGTCGGTGTTTACTAGATCAGTAATCACAATCATGACAAGTTGTTTGCTGTAAATGTAAATGATTGTAATGAGAAATTCAAACTCCCCTAAAACTTTATTAAACATATTAAAGAAAAATGTTTTATGAGTTCCTTAAAATGAATATGACTGCTCAAAATCAAATTAAAAAAGACTCAAGCGCGGATTTAGGTCAATCTGAGTAAATTGAACGCTTGACTGTGCAGACGGCTGACCATATCTAGATTTCCGAATAATACTCTACCATATGATGGGAAAGGCTAAGGTTCATATATCCTCCAAGACACCGTGGTAATTTAGCAACTAAATTTCATACTTTATCGCCAAACCCATTTTCACTGCTAAGATTTATGAAGAGTGTAAGGAAGAGCAAAGGCCCGTGCAAAAGGACGCAACATTGTTGGATGTTACATGTTGCGTCCGTTTGCACAGCCTGTTGCATGTTGTTGCGTGTTGTTGGGAGTAGTTGAGCAAAGTTTGAAACCGGTCAAACATTTAGCTCAATGCAAACGGACGCAATGATGTTGGGAGTTGTTGAGTCCGTTGCACGTGGCTCAGTCAATGAGCCTATATTCCACCTTCCATTTGTCACGCTAAAGAGCAATGTTCAATAACTAAAAAGGTTTCATTTCACGTTCTTGTCTTATATATATTAGATCAAGTTTAGGTGAGAACTGCATGTCATGTCCTGGAAAGCGAAGGGTGAAAGTCAGATGTAAATATTCGATGGCACTGAGGATTTTAAGATTTAGAGTGTAACAGTCCAAAAATGAACGTAGCTATTGTTGTGCGAGTTATCAGTAGATTTTATTTGCAAGAAACAAGCCCTACATACCTTAAGTAAGGGAGAAAAAAGCCCCGTGTAAACTAACGCAAGTCGGCAAACAACTCCCAACATTGTTGGATGTTACATGCTGCGTCCGTTTGCACACTCTGTTGCATGTTGTTGTTCCGTGTTGTTGGGAGTTGTTGCGCAACGTTTGAAACCGGTCAAAACGTTTAGCTACGTTCAAACGGAAGCAACATTGTTGACCAACAACTCCCAACATTGAGAGGAGTTGTTGCGTCCGTTTACACGTAGCTTATGGTGCCTCAAGAGAAGAACTTAAATCATTATGCTTCGTGAAACAACACTTCCTATTGTAACTACCAACACCAGTTGCACTTTTTAGTCAGCAAAGATGAATTTATATGCTCACAAACGCACCTGAGAAGTGGCGTAAAGCTTACCTTTGAATGATAAAAAAAATAAGGGTAAGATTTGTGCATAGCCCCATGCATTTGTTCTGCATACTGTGTCGACTCTACTCATATAAACTGTTTGGACGAAATAGCATAGGACGATTCACGACAATGTCTTCGTAATTAACTGACTCTCTCTGGGATTAAAAGAATTATGTTTCCAAATATTATCGAGCTGAGCGATGGCAGAATTTCAAATTTGACTATTCTGTTGCCTCAAAAAAAAAAATTTTGACATATTCTTATCAAACAAGTTGCACTTACCTTAAGTGAGGCAAACAACTTAATGAAGCGTAAGAACCTATTTGACCACGATCTCTCCACCGACAGCACTACTGCCTTAAGGCTCATCTCCGGTGTAATATAATTCAGTTACTCACACTGGAATGACGTAAAACAAAGAAAACAAAATATAGTTCCAGTCATTAAGAAGGGGTCATCCCCGGTGTAGTATAATATATTCGTTTTCTTTGTTTTACGGACTATTTTCAGGGTTTAAGGTTCATTGCTAAGGATGTCAGTCGTGGAACAAACATCTTTCACTTCCTCTAAGGGGAGAGTGGGGAATACATGATGCTTTTGAATATGAGATGTGTTTTGAGACGCTCTGCAAAAGCCTTACTTGAGGTTTTATTGTTAGTTAAGTAATAGCAGATACACGGAGCTCACACTGGCAAGTACACTAAGAAAATCTAATCTATGTAACAAAGCCTTCAAAAATTTAAAGTTTCACCCCATAGGGTATACTTAGGTATAATTAAGTACCTTCGTTCCCAGGCCAGCACGGAGTTTTCGGTGGTTTTCAGCCTGCTGCCTTGTATAAAGGTGGTGCAGTCTGCCAACATGACCTCAACGCAAATACCTCTTCGAAATCTTCTTTATATTAGCTATAGGGGAAGCCGGCAGAGTCTCAAACTAGTGAATATTGTCAGTGTGTCCTCAGCAGCTTGCGGCTATGATATCATCACAAATATTAATGAAAGCATGCCCAGATAAAGCGATTGTGCAATATGAGCCTAGTACGTAATAAACTCAAGAGTTTAAATCGGCGTATGTTAAAGCCTTCTAGTAAAAAGTAATCTGGGGGGTACTCCCTTACATAAGCCACATAGGTATGTGCTACTCCAAAGGGTATGGTTTTTGAACCGTTTTTAGCTGAAAACAGGTATAGAGCTGGTTTTGCTCATTTTGGTCTGGAATCGGCTAGGGTGTTCGAGGGAACTACGGGAGGGCATGAATGTATTCGTCGTTTCAATTCCAAATGAATAAGAAAGAGTACTATGCGAAATAAAAATGGATTTAAGGGAATCTTCTTGTTGGCGCCTCCCTAATCTCAGCCTGATGACACAATTTCTGTCTATATAATAATGTATATTGCGTTTGTGACCCCCTCCATGTCTGAAAACGGGTATTGGTTTTAGTGGCAAGTTCTGAAAACTGGTGTGGAAGATGACTTTCTTTTGGTCTGAAACAGGGCCAGGATTTGGAGAACCGTACGGCGCATCCCAGAAAAGCATTCAACTCATTTCTTATAATTACGTCAATTCTTTACCAAATATGAGATTGTATAAAACAGGTTTTGGAACAAATGATTTTATGTACTTTCTGCTAAGATCAGCCAGAATCATTAACCCATTTAAATTGTTCTATCACTGCTCACGATCTAAACATGCAGTTTTGGATTGAATTTGAAATATTGGTGACTTACTAGTTTCGAATCAATGAATTCGTCTTTCCTCAGAAAATTTGCTGTGTGTAATTTTAATGGAGACTACTTACCTTTTACTGCAATTGCTCAACTATTCTATAATTAATATTATTGGAACTGAAAGCTTTTTTAGTGGGACTGCAGGAGCAAACAACCCTTTCAAACATTTATGGATTTAGGGCGAAAATCCTCCCTTAATATATGAAACAAAGATAATGATCAGCAACAAAGACGTCTTTAAAAGAAAGCGATTTTTAATATTTTTACACTAGTTAAACTGAAGTTTATAATTGAAATTTGAGCCCTAGAAGGGTGCTTGGTAGTTTCTTTTAGAACTGTAATAATTTAACGATTAATTTAATCTTAGTGTATTTTATAGTTTGTTAGTAAATATTTATTGCAATGCTTTGTATTATTGCAGTTATGGTTAATGTCGATAAATAGATAAATAAATAAATAAATAAAAAATAATTCCTTTCAATGGTTCCGAACGTCTTCCCCCAAAAGGACCTCCGTAATTCTACCTATTAAAGCCGGCTTCTGCTTCCGCAAGTAATAAGGATTTTTAGACCTCCAGTTACTACCATTAAAGTTTACATTTACTTGAAATAAAGACAGCATTATTTTTAAGGCCGAAATTTGAACATGGCTGCCTTCATTGAACACTGCTCCCTTCAAATACTAGAAGTGCCTCCCTTCGCATTAGCGCCCCGCTCTTGACTCAGAAATTTAAATAAGCAACCCGAATGCTTATTCAAGCATTCACCAAGCCGACTTCTAAAATCACAGGAGCTTCAATTAGGGAATGCACAAAAATACTTAAATAGATGCTTTAAACATTCTCGACCCCAGTGCCTAAACATAAACATATAGAAAGGAAACTTAATCGTATGTTCACTACCGGAGTAGCTCAATGTCATTCCTGATAAAAGGAGAGGCCGAGATTTTCCACAACATTCTCACAAGCTGGGCAAAGTCCCTTATATAAATCTATAGCTTAAAATTATACCCACAAAAATTACTCTATTAACTTTAATCATGAACGTATTTTAAGTTGCGTAAAGTGCTTTATGCCTAAACTGTATGTACTTAAATATTGACTAAGTGGGAGGGCCGGACGGGAATATATTTGGCTCGAGACCTGGGCGTCTTGGAAGAAAACCAAATACTTTCCCGTCCGGCCCAACCTAACTCAGACAAAAAGTTTTATCACATTTTTATCACATTTTTTTCACGCATTTTTTCCCTTTTTTCCGCCCTATAACTTGATGCCCACGGCCCTCATACGGAACTTTTTTCCATTTGGTTTTCCAATTTTCGTCTCATTCTTAAGAAACGCTCTTGAAAGTGGGACGCTAACAGTATTTACACAGAGCCCAGCCTCGTACGTTTGTAAATCCCGTTCTTTGAAGTGAATTTCTGTAGCCTAAATTGCAGTCCTAAAACTGAAATTAAACGAATAATTACCCTCATTTGAAAGTCTAACTTGTCAGAGTCGCACGGGCTACAGAAGTACTAACCCCGGACATTTCATCATGCTCTTTGACTAAAGTTTTGAACAATGCTCAGAAGTCCCCGGGAAGCTCAATGTTGACTTGACTAGAAACTCGAAGCATACAAGAAAAAAAACAATCCTACATTGGATTTCTTCTTCGATAAGTATACCATAAGTTTGAAAATCAAACCATAGAAAGGCATTGCTTTGCCAGTGAAAATCAAACGTACAAAGGAACAGTGATTCACTCTTGGTGTTGAGTCTTTTTAGGTCTCTATAAGGTCAACAAAACCTACTTTTGAAATAAAAGCCCACGTAGAAAAACGTCCGGTTTTTGTCATGGAGAACATTTTTTTGTAGGAAAGTAAAACTGATTCAAAGCACCAACGAAACAACAGGACTGTAACTTTACGCGAGTTTTCGATTTCCCGCCATCAGATAGTTACTAGCTGTTGCTGGTATTAGGGACTGTGCAATAATTATCAGGAGGGGGGGGGGGCTGAAAAACTAGAGTTATCTAGCAAAAACTTAGACAGTACCCCCCCCAAAACAAAAAAAAATTAGTTCTAACCCCCCCTCTGTTAAGTTAAAAATAACGTCGCACCCCCCTTCCCACCACACTGGTAAACTCAAAACTGGACTGAGCTGCCATCACAGCTTCAATAATGACAAACGTTATTATGTAACATCTAGTATCGAGAAGGATGTTGATCGCTTGACTGAAGATTTAGACAAAGCATTTGCTAAGTACTGGGGTGCTTACCACATTGGCTCAAAATCTAAAATTTCTGAAGCCAGAAAGAGAAAGGAGCAGGGAAAAAATCAAAGAACAGGAGATTGAACGCTTCAAATAACAGGAGAGCCTGTTGAACTTTTTTATGAGCCACATATGTATGGAATTCTGCAAATCGATTCAGTCGATGAAGAAACATTATTTTTTGTCACATCAAAAACCGACAAAGCTTGTCTACGAGATCTGTTTGATTCCCATTGTTTTATGGGGGAAGCTGAAAAACAAGTTCATGATTTTTGCTTTACATAGGATCCGCTCAATTAATTAGAAAACGGGTTAAAATTGATCAGTTGTGAACTTGCTTTTCATTTTGATGGAATATTTTCAATAATCGTTTAAGAGCCATTTTCTGAGAAAATCGAGAATCGCAAGACACTCGTCAAAAAATCGAATTTTTTATTATTTTGCCAAAACATCCCTTTTAGTGACCTAATTTAAGGAAAAATAGTTTTGGGTTCAAACGATTCATTTTAAAGGAAAAATTTTAAAAAGTTTGAAAAACCGATTTTATTCCTGTTTTTCGAACAAAACACGGCAGGATGCAATGGCAACTTCGAGAGAAGGGTGAAAGCGTAAGAAACATTCCCTGACACTGAAACTTAATTATTATTTTGTTCTTACTCCTGAAAACCTTAAAAGAAAATTTGAAAAACAATGTCTTGTATTTTTATAATCGACAAGTCTAAAGAGGTCATATTTGTGACGTTAGACGTGCTAGAAAACGAAGGCCAACTTTGACTATTAAAAAAGGCCTCTGGTATATGCCGCTTGCTCATAAAATCAATATAAAATGGAACCTTGGCGTTTGTACTAACTTACTGGAAAGTTTTAGCTCTGGAAATCAAATACCATCCTGACACCAAAGCAAGCGGTGAGAGCAATTGAATTGGGAAATTTATGCAAATTAGACGGCTTGCACCCTACTTGCAGACGGTTGTCAAACTAAAAGAAAGGTTTTACATGAAAGGATTACTCACCATTGCTTGTAACACGTTTTTACGGCAAGGAAAGTTATTTCCAACTTTTGTTGCGTCGGTTTGAGTCACAAAATCCATAATTTTAAGCCAAAAGGTCCAAAAGACAAACGTACGTTTGCTCAGCGACTGCGCCAGAATCCGGCCGTGAATCGAAATAAAGTCACAACACGTCACTGCGGTCCTTTAGAAGCAAGAGTTGCAAGAGTTTTTACTTCAGTCAGGAGGCCAAAAGATTGAAAATTCATCGCAAACTAATGACTTCGATTTTGAAAACCTTTCATCACTTCAATCGTTCGTCGGCTGATGATAAACATCGCACAAGATCGTATGACCTTTGGCGTGTGACCGGAAATCGGTCACACGCTTAAGTCACGTTAGCATACTGTCACGAATTTTAATACGATTTTTCACGTTTCCTTTCGACAAAAAATAGACTCATCGAAATAAAATCAGGCTTGCTTTATTTTTTTTATTTTTTTAAAATTTCTTTTATAGCCTGCAGAACTTGTTTCCCATGCATCGCGCGTGTCTCGCGCCCCCAGTCAGCTTCGCAGTGCTAGCGTGAAAAGCGCAAAAGACTGAAATTGACTCCTGTTCTGCAGTTGATTTCTTTTATAGACACCTTCTAGGCATTGACAGGCTGTGGAAAAAGTGTTTATTATTATTATTATTTTTTTTTTTGAAGTGCTACATCATTTTCCTATAAATTTCAAACGTGACTGTTAAAAGACTGTTTGGAACCCATGGATGGAGAAAAGCTGTGCCGGAGAGAAGGTCAACCTCCCAGCCGAGCCAACTTTTGCGAGCGTTTATATGAGGAAAAAATTTGTCCGAGTCAACAGTGCTTGCGCATGCTGTCTTTGTCTAGCCTTGACCGTGTTGTCCCAGCTAGCTGGGCGAGCCAAAGTGGAGAAATATTAGCCGGGCTAGAAGGGTGAGGCCACCACTGGAGGGCTGACTTCCGGAAGCCTTCAACCCCGCCCACTACTGGTAGTAAGGCGTCTATCCGAACCAACCTTTTGTTTCTCATCTAAATGGTTTACCAAGTTTTGTAAGGAAATGGAGGAAAAGTTGGCTCGCCCAGGGTAGCTTGGGAGGTGAGTAAACACCAGATAACCCCAATAATAAGCACAAACTTTGATTGTCAGTTAGATGTCCACAGGAGCCGATCGGCTCCTGGATGTCCACTATTTTAAGTAAGCGACCTGGGATGTGATTGTCGCATCCATGCCCCCTTCCAGATCCCCTTTATTATCGGTAAGCCTCTGATAGGTCAAAGTAATACAGTCGTGCCTCCAGTAAGCGACCACCAAAAATGAAAAGACTTAGTGGTCTCTAACGGGAGGTGGCCGTTTAGAAGAATCGGACCACATGGGGTCTATTCCGAGAAGAGGTCCAGGCACATTCTATTAAATGGCGGTGTAACAAATTCCTGGCAAAATATTATCTTTTACCTCTTTTGACAAATACAGCTTTTAAATCATGCTCAATTTAAAGAGGGATTCAGGTGAGTGAGATATAGAATAGTCTAGAATCACAACAGAATCTTCACTTTGTTGGCTACATCTACTAAGTTAGGATATGTGTAGTTCCACGATGTCACTAAAGGTCTTCATATTTTCTAAGGAACATAGTACACACAGCAAAAATAGAGAGCAGAGAATGCGTCAACTGGTCGCTTATAGAAAACAATTAACCATGACGCCCAAAAAGTGGTCGCAGTCACTTACAGAAGGTGGTCGTTTACTGGAGGTTCCAACTGTAAGGCTTTGACTGGGAAAATTTGGTCTTTTGGATTGGCGGTCGCACAAGGAGGTTCGACTGTGTTAGGTCTATTAGAGTATAAGCCACCATCACCTCACTGTGAGTGACGAGAGCCAGGAAAGTATAGTATACACTCCCTTAGGATACACAGAATCGTTGTTTTGAGGTCCCGTTTAGCGAAATGGATCATTCAAGGGAGGTGCTGAAGTCCCATAGTGAAATTTATAAGGTTTATGGGTTTTTAGTGCAAGGCGAAACACAATACTTAGGGCCCTGTTGTTCAAACGTTGAACAACAGGAAATCACTATCAAGCGAATAAGAAGAAGCAATTGCGTTACTTATTGGATATAGATTTATCCACCCGGGGGCGTTAGTCAACTTTTCGAACATACAGCCCCTCAGTCACTCTCCTCCGCAGACTTACCCTGGGTAGACTACGAGTAGTCCCCCATTTTTCCTCAGGGATAGTAGAGCGAGCGAAACGCGAGGGTGCGTGAAAATTACCCCACGCGAGAAAAGGCACGCGCACTCGCGTTTCGCTCGCTCTACTATCCCTGAGGAAAAATGAGGGACTACTCGTAGTCTATACCCTGGGCGACCAGGATAAGGGAATATAATACTCGACCTTCCTTGCATCATCGCGAGAGCCTATAGCCTTCACTTTCTTTTGGCTCGTCCTACAATCCTACCTAACGTTCGTGGGACAGGAAAGTCTGCTTGCGAGGCTTGGGAATCTAGGGAGACTATGGTAGCATGGTGCAAATAGCCGGGATGAGCTACTTTGTCCACACGAACCAAGAGGATTGGGTCTGCTAGAAGAAATCAGGTGTAGCTTTCTGTGATAAGTAATATTCCAACAGTATAGGATCGTAGTTTGAGGCCATTTCACAATCACTAGTTTCCGCGCACCTCTACCGGCGAGTTGTGGACAAAAGCAGCTGATAGCTGTATGCGAACCTTTTTTCCACAAAATGGTTTCTGGGTTTGCGTATTCGACAGTGTCATGTATTGATTTTTTTTAATCTTAATCGAGGTCTTTTTTATTATGTACTGTCTATCTGACTGACTGTTTCTTTGTGTTTTTTTTTTCTGGTAATAACAGGTTTCATAATTTGGTCGTGGTTGGGGTTATAAGCTCCTGATCGTGAGCAAATAGCGAAAAAATCAACAAGCAAAACCAAAGTGAACTATAGCGTTGAGTCCGTTGGCCACGGAGAATTGGTATTATTCTGCAAGTTCTTTACTACAGCAAGAGAGTATATTCCCTTGACTATGGGACATTGGGCCGGGGGAACTTAGTATTTTGACCCGGCATAGGGGAGGAGGGGAGGGGGAGGGGGAGGGGGTACTCTGGCCAGATTCCAAGTCACGGGGATGATCGAAGTATGTTTTTTTCTTGGTTTGAAAATATTGTGAACAAATTTTTTTTTTTAGCTGTGGCTTTACTTAAGTATTCAAAATATTCGTTCTTTTTTGGTCTTAATTTTCGCTTCCACGGATCACTCACGACACTTGGAATCCGAGGTACCCCTCCTGTTTAGTACTTCTAAGGCAAAAAAGCTGTTTCAAAGCCTAGTAGGTAAATAAAAGAAAAATAAATATGCATGGCTGTTTCTGCTGCGATGAGAGGATTTCTTGTCAAAAAATGTGAAAACTGTATTAAAATTGCTGACAACAGCTACGAAAATTTCGTGACAGCATGCTGACGTGACTAAAGCGTGTGACCAATTTCCGGTCTGCCTCCTGACTGAAGTAAAAACTCTTGTAACTCTTGCTTCGACGTGTTGTGACTTTATTTCGATTCACGGCCGGATTCGGACGCAGTTGCTGAGCAAACGTACGTTTGTCTTTTGGCTAAAAATTATGTATTTGTGACTCAAAACGACGCAAAAGAAGTTGGAAATAACTTTCCTTGCCGTAAAAACGTGTTACAAGCAATGGTGAGTAATCCTTTCATGTAAAACCTTTCTTTTAGTTTAACAACCGTCCGCAAGCCGTCTAATTTGCATAAATTTCCCAATTCAATTGCTCTCACCGCTTGCTTTGGTGTCAGGATGATATTTGATTTCCAGAGCTAAAACTTTCCAGTAAGTTAGTACAAACACCAAGGTTCCATTTTATATTGATTTTATGATCAAGCGACATATACCAGAGGCCTTTTTTAATAGTCAAAGTTGGCCTTCATTTTCTAGCACGTCTAACGTCACAAATATGACCTCTTTACACTTGTCGATTATAAAAATGTAAAGCATTGTTTATCAAATTTTCTTTTAGTATTTTCAAGAGTAAGAACAAAATAATAATTCGGTGAAGTTTCAATGTTAGGGAATGTTTCTTACGCGTTCACCCTTCTCTCGAAGTTGCCATTGCATCCTGCCGTGTTTTGTGCGAAAAACGAGCATAAAATCGATTTTTCAAACTTTTCCTAATTTCTCCTTTAAAATAAATCGTTTGAACCCAAAACTATTTTTCCTTAAATTAGGTCACTAAACGGGATGTTTTGGCAAAATAAACAAAAATTCGTCGTGCGATTTTCTCAGATAATGGCTCTTAACAGCTGTTCGTGTTGATATTTGTTACAGTCTATCATGATGCCTGTATTGAGAATCTTTTATTGCGTTTAATTTTATTTACATTTCGAATAAAACTTAAGGCCCCCCCTCCGTCAAGTGAGTGATTTTACTTTGAGCCCCCCTATCTTGGCAGCAATTTTATGTAATGCCCCCCCGCTGGTTTTAGGGCCCCCCCTCCTGATAATTATTGCACAGTCCCTAACCTACAAACCACTTGAGGGACTCAAGCAGAACTGACAACGACAGTCTGACTTACAACAACTGACCGTTACTAGTATATACACTCTAAATCAGAAAGATCTGTTTTAGCCCTAAAAACAGGGCCGCTTCGGTGAGTAAAATACAGTCCTATTTTTGGGTCTAATTTGGCTCCCTTAAATCAGTGCCAATACAGTCCAATTAGCTAAGGCTGATTTGGTCCCAGGGCTGAAATGGGCTCTACCGTGGGCTGGAATAGCCTTTTGATTGAGCTTTTTTGGCCAAAATTGTGCTCAAATGGCTCCAAGAAGGGCTGAATCAGACTTTGGCCTGCAGGGCTGAATTGACACTTTGGGGCTGAAACAGATCTTTTTAATTTACAGTGTACTAAAACATTTTCGGGCTGAAACGCAATCAAATTAACATCACGGCTTAATTCACAGACGACATTGCAGCCTATTGAAAAATCAGGTCAATAACTACCACACAGGTTGTCGAAATATTAGTCACCGTCTATTCACCGTGTATTCACAACCACACTCACCCGGATGATCATATACCTAATTATGTTCCAGCTGCTCAGCTCCATAAATTCTGCTGTATAACTGGCCCAGTTTCTGTGTAATTGATTTACGACGCCAAACATGTATCACAAAAGGACTGCCATGAATGTGAACACCACGTAAGCACACGTTCAACATGTAGTCTCCTGGCTCCGCATCTTCAGGGACTCTGCAAAAAGCCCAATAACTACCATCACCACAGTCCGTTACATTTCCTGTGGCCTTCTCGTTACCAAACTCGTCTTTAAGCTCCACCGTAAACAAGTCGCCACCCAGAGACCGCCGACGGTTTTGGGGGTCATGAGCAACAATATTAAAGGACCACCCACCTCCACAGACTACACAACAATATTCCATGCCCATCATGCCCATCATGCCCATGCCCTTTGCAATTGTATTTTCTGCACAGGTTGAATCGTCAATGACGCTAACCTTGTTACTGAGCGCGTCCACTAGGTCCTGCAGTCTCTTGTGATCAAAGATAAGCTTCGGGACAAAATGGACCTGTGGCTCAAGCGGCATTGGCTGATTTTCTCTGTCCCTGAGTGTCGACTCTAAAGCGGACCTGGCAACCAGAAGCTCAGCATCATCAAAGGATCGGATGCGGGATAAAACACTCTGAACAGTACTCGCTATGCTTTCTTGAAATTTGCACAAGCGGTCTTGCTGCTCTGCGAGGATGGCTGCCTTGTTATTGTATAACTGTTCCAGCTCTTTCGTCAGAGTTTGCTCTTTGGTAGTGATTTCAGCATAAATCTATAAAGCATACCATACAAAGTGTCTTTGAAATTATCTAAACCGTGGATCAAAACAGCTAATATAAGGAAATCTTACGTTTTGAAAACTGGTATTTGAAGGTATATTGATTTGCATAATTTGCAATATTTTGTGGGCGGCATAGAACAAGGAGCGAGAAAAACGACAGAATTTGTCCGCGTACAGACTGTGAGTAAGTTAAGTTGTTGCTTTAATCTTATAGAATCGCCCGGGTTACTTCCTATGATGGCCTATACGGGAAGGTTCCGCCCGAAAGGAGTACTTTTCTCAGGCTTCAGGTATATGAAAGGATAGCGGTTTCACTAGTTGAAGTCAAGAGCCATAATAGTCCTTCTATGATTCCTTGTTGAAGTATATAAAAGGGTAGGAAAATCTCTCATTGCAGTCTGTGAAAAGACCTAGAAGGGCTAACAGATGCATTGTATGCTGTAACAAAGACAAGAAAACATCCTTGTGTAGTGATTTATTCATATTCAAAATACGCTGCATTTACAAACGAGGCATGTGAAAGGGGTACCATTTGACAATGAAAGGTATACAAAACAGATACCTTTTTTTACTACTGGGCGGAGCCTCCCCGTATGAACTTTTATATTAAGTACCCCCCTACCCCGCCGGTTGAAAAGGTTGAAAAGAAATGCGTCCTCCGGTTTGAAAACTCATACATTTTGACTCGTTGTGCCCTTAGGTAAAAACCAAAAAATATCAAAACGCGTTTTCAAAAACGCCCTCATTTATGTCTATCAGTGTGTGGACAGGTAAAGGAAAAGAGAAAACCAAAAGATTTCTCGAAAACGTTGACGTTATAGCGAGTCACGCAACACCCGGCTTCGTTGGTCGGGTAAGTTTGTTGTCCCCGCTCTTTTAAGTAAATTGCAATGATTTCTTTTACAGAGGTACCATCTCACAGACCAGTGAATAAATGGGGTAGTAAAAACGCCTGGCACAGGCGTAACATAGTATTAGTAGAAAGAAGCGTGGCAAATTTAGTCATTACACTCAATTGATTACTTACTTTTAAAAAAAAAAAACGAGGTCATTATATAGAGTAACGCCACTTTACAGCTCTATAGAGTCTTCTATGAGAATACTAAAGTACGCGAGGAACGTTTGAATCTTTTTTGCTATGTTTGGGTGGAAGGGTCTGTAAAATAAGGGGGAGCCCACCTCCTTGAATAACTTATGAATTTCGGCAGCTTGCTCTCCACGCGCCTTTTCCATGTAAAGACGTGCTTTCACCACTTGAGTTTCTCCATCTTTAATAACCTCGGTGCGAGCGTTAACTTTAGTGGCAAGTTCCTGCATTCCCTTACGGCACTTTGAAGCCGCCTCAGCTAAGGATGAACAATCATGACCTTGGTGATCAAGCTTGATGCATCCCCTACAAACCACGTGACCGCACACCTCGTCGAATAAACGGAATCGCTCTTTATGTTCCTGGCAGAAAACATTCACAAGTGACGTCTCCAAGGAGACAACTTTGTGATCACAACTTGCTTTGTTGCGAGTGTGAAAGCGAGCTGCATCCTTACACATGTCCTCTTTACAGTCTAAGCAGAAAAAGGTCGCGGGATGTTTATCATCACAAGCTTCGCAGGTGTATGAGCCTTCACCTTTTTGGTGATGGTGCTTGACATTTTCGTTAATAATGCTCAACAACGCAAAATTCTTTGGTAGCCCTGCTACTCCGGCTTGAGGTACGTTAACTTCATCTCTGCATGTGGGACAGGGAATTTTGTTATCTGCAGTGAGTAAACGCTCCAGGCAGCAGGTACAAAAGCTGTGACCACAACTCAGAATACGAGGGCAAATATTTTGATCTTCAAATGGTTCGCAACAGACTGGACATTCAAGTACTTCTGCAGACGCCATTACCTGAAATAAAACGGAAGACATGTTGGAATTAAACCTCTACACAGTCAGGCTAACGAAGTAATCTTGAGGGCAACAATCATGGCACTTTTTGCAAGCGTGGCTAAGGTTAGTCGGTTTGGTTGGGCCGGACCAATGCTCAGCACTTTAAAATATCTGAGAATTGAAGGTACTGTCTTTGCCCTTCACTGCAAATAGCCAGATCTTCGCGTGGCTCGGATGACCACGTAGAAACACATGTATGCCAAGCTAACGAGTGAGAATTGCTGTTACGTAACTGAAATATTATAAGGCTTTGTATAAGGATTTGAGCGATCGTTATTTAGGGTTCAAAACAGCCAGAAAATCCATCAGAATATCTTACCTTGCCTCGTTGTCTTATTTATATTGTGTTCTTAGCATTTTTGGAGTATCAGGGCGATTTCAACGAGTTTAAGTAACACTTACAGACAGTATCGTGCAGTGCCGGCTGTACTAATATGGAAATTTTGTCTGCACCAAGAACTGCAATATAACAAAGTTAACAATACTTCGTAGATCTTATAAGTAATACCGGTATATAAGAATTTGGCGAACCGGGGATAACTTATTTGTCCCTATGACTCAAGTATTATCAGGACACTCACTTAGTATGATCATCGCTTCGTCGTAAAAACTTATTGCATATACCTCTTTTTTTTTAACAACCTTATCAGGTCATTAAAGCAGGGAAGTAGCCCTTCTATGGAGTTTCGGTTTCGTGTTGTTGTAACATGAGGTGTAACGTTATGTGATTTCTACAAATAAAAACGTTGTTATAGAAAAGGCATCTTTTAAATTTTTGGATAAAACGTCTTAGGATTCCAGTCAGTCAAAATAGAAAAACAGCTTACATTCATTTCACTATCAAACGGCTGCTTCAAAACAACATACTGACTCATGGCGAAGTCACAGTCGCACAAGATCGGTACTCAAAATGATTTACCGATTTGTTTGCGGTAAATGTAAATGATTGTAATGCACAGCAAATTCAAACTCACCTACGACGTCGAGGGTTTGCATAACTGTCTCGAATTCTCCCAACTACTCGAGTGTTTATATCAGGCTATTCAAACACAGGAAAAAAGTTTTCTATTGCTTAATATTGCTTTTTCTAGAAAAATACTGTTACTTTTCCGTTTACAAGCAATTTATTTGTAAACGTTAAGTTTCACAGTGCATAAGGAAATGTACCGAATTTACGCGAATTAGCGCCGCGGCGCTTATTTGAGAGCAGAGCTTAATACCATAGCAATACCGCTTAGTAATGTATTTACTCGAATAAGCGCCGCGGCGCTAATTAACTCCCCCACCCCCCTAAATGCGGCGCTTATTTGAGGGCGGGGCTTAATCGAGTAATTACTGTAATTGGCAGCTTAATAGTTTATTACATTTAGGGCAAATTGTTATTACATTTAGGACTTTATTAAATTTAGGACAAAATTTTATTACATTTCGGACTTTATTAAATTTAGGACCGTTTATTACATTTAGGCCTTCTACAGGCGTAACGAGAAACAGCGTAACGAGTTTTTACTTTTTTTCTTTTTTCTTTTTTCTGGAACGCGATTTCTCCAAACTATTGAGCCGGATAAAAATCATACCTAAATCGTTTTGTCTCATGAAAAAGATATCCTCATCTTGCATCTTTGATGAGGGATACATTCGTTTAGTATACAGCTATTTCGGGAAAGTTTGTCGGAAAAAATATGCACGCGACAATCCCGAAAGGTAATATGGGATATGATCAATACACTGTTCCTGACGACTGTAGCTGTCGAACCTACTTTTGTTGCTTTCCTTTAGCACGCGCAAACACATTTCCATGGCCTTTCGTGCCAATTCTTTCAAATTTCTTTGAAAAAAAGAGAACTCGAAACCACCCACAATGCCTTTCAGGATTGTTGCGTGCACTTTTCCCGACAACCTTTCTCGAAATAGCTGCATACACCAGACCAATTATTCAAGAATATTCACCTCCTGGAGAGTGGATAATGTGTGAACTCGGTGTTTTTCCCATTTTTTCAGGGAACGATTGACTGTATAACGGCTTCAGGTCGTTTAATTTATTCTCCAAAGTGTCTCCTGGATCTGAATAACTAACACCGATTTTCTTTTGTAAGGGAATGCGATGGTTTCCTGCAATGTTTTGTCATGCTGGGCCCAGGTCGTTAGTGTTTCTTTTTTTTACAGGATGTTAAATTCTTAGTGATTTACAGATAAAAAAATGAAGCTGCATCAACTATAGAGAATTGCATTGTGACAAAATTGCTGATTGGTTCTCCACGCTAACTTCATCAGTTGCCGGGTCAGCTTTGTTCTTAGATCCTTTTACAAGAGCACTCTAGTTGTCTGTGCCGTGGCGAGAACGGTAAGCCGTTCTGTCTAGCTGAGCTTTGACCTGCATGGATCGTTCGAATTCATTGAGATTTCACCATTAACGCCGTCCACAAGTTCCAAAATACAAAAAAAAAAATTATTTTGCTTTCACACACGCGCCTTTAAAGTTCATTTCCGCTTCACGGAAGGACAAACATTTTATTGGCCAATTATGACAGCTGATGACAGCATCAAATGTCGGTGCGTGAACTCAGGCATGACAGGCCACGTGGGCGGTTTTCAAAATCGAGGGATTTGTCTGCAAGCGTTTCCTTCCTTTCTTCCCCACCCCCTCCCCGTTCTTTTACTTGCGCCATTTTTCGCGCGGTCTTTGACACTTATTCCTCGTTCTTTGCTCCTAAACCGCACACACTTGCTACGCAGGCTAACGTATACGCAAAATTCAATCCTTAGTCGTTAGCAGGGATGCATTTGACAACAATAGAAATTTAAGTTATTATGGATCTCAGAGATTTGGATTGAACAGCAAGAAATGTTTACTGGGAAATGGAAATACAATAGCAGAGGTATTCTGCCAAAAATTTTCCATGCGGATGCACTTATGACAAGTCTGGCTAGTCCATTAGTAGCCCATACTTTAAAACATGATTAATTTATTTGTCTTTCGTACGTCGTGCAATTACATCTTCTGAACACTCGGAGAGAAAACTATCAAAAGCACATAGAACATATCACTGTACCAATTTTAAAAGGGAGACAATATATTTGCCAACCATGTTTTGTCGCACTTTGTAATAAAATTGTCGCACTCTGTAATAACACTTGTCGCACTTTGTAATAAACTTGAAATGTACGGTCGGAGGACAAGTAAACCCAATAATTGTTAATATAGAGATACAGCCAGGACTAAAAGCGTAGCTCTAGTCAATAAATTTATAATTCTTTCAATCTTCAGGATAATTGAAGCACGCGCCTAACGAATTATGCTGTGGTTATATGGCCGGTAAACGGTCAAGGTTTTCAAAACACTGAATGACCGGCAGTCTTATATTCTCAGTAAATTTCACAAAATCAAAAAATCCCAGATAATCTAAATTATCATATGTCGATTAAGAGAAGTCAAGCGATCCTGAAATGCTTTATAGATCTCAAGTATAGCGTTTGGTTTACGCTGAGCTCAGAAGACTTTTTTCAAAACACTAAATGACCGGCAGTCCTATATTCTCAGTAAATTTTTACAAAATCGAAAAATCCCAGCTAATCTAAATTATCATGCGTCGATTAAGAAAAGTCAGTCTAGCGGGTTTACGCTAGGCTCAGAAAACGAAACCATGTTTTTTCACACTAAAAAATTTTTTCAGCTCGACTGCCGGTCAAAGTTTTCAAAACACTAAATGACCGGCAGTCCTATATTCTCAGTACATTTTGCTTGACTTTTCTTAATAGACATATGATAGTTTGGTTTAGCTGGATTATTTCGATTTGTGAAATTTACGGAGAATATAGGACTGAGGGTCATTTAGTGTTTTGAAAACCTTAACCGGCAGTCGAGCTGAAAAAAGTTCTAAGTGTCACAAAACATCATGGTTTCGTCTTCTGAACCCAGCGTAAACCAATCGCTATACTTGAGATCTATAAAGCATTTCAGGATCGCTTGACCGTACTACGGAAGCCGAAAAGGGACAATCCAAAAATATTTTGCGAATCCCAAAAAATATATCAAATCGAAATATTTTGTTCAAAATCACTGTCGAAAAGTTTGACAAATCTAAAAAACTATTGCAAATCCTAAGAAAATTAGTGGATAAATAGTCTCTATTAGAGACTATTCTCAATAGTCCGAAAATATTTTGCAAATCCATAAAAATTATTACAAATCGCAATTTTTGTACAAATCATTATTGAAGAGTCTGGCAAATCCTAAGAGACTTACTGGATCAGCGAATAATTTTGTATAAAACTCTAAAATAGTTTACAGTCCAAGAATCGTCGTGAAATCCCAAAAAATATTTTGGAAATCGAGAAAAAAGTTTTGTCACGTGCTACTTGTGCCAGCAGTCAGCCAGCGTCATAAGGGCGTTTTCCCGCCATTTCCCGCATCCAAAATGGCGAACGAAAGATCTCGAGAAAGAGGTTAGAAACATCTAGTACGATGTTCTGTCACAGATGTGGAAGAGAATCTGGGAACAATGAAATATTCTGCCGTTGGTGTGGAACACTAAAAAGGCGTGAACAGGAAAGTGTGTTGTACAGCACGGAAGGCGAGAGATTGGCTATAGAACATTACTTTAAAAAGGGATTTTGTTATGAGACCATTGTTCACTTTTCTGGCAGAATACCATGGGATTTCAATGAACGTGAGGACTTTGAAGAGAAGGCTACGTCATTATGGGTTACGAAGAAGAAATCACCTTCATTCAGAACGCACTGTTCGGGAAGTAATCAAACGAGAAATTGAGAGCCCTTTATCACTTCTTGGATATCGTGGAATGTGGAACAAGCTAAGAACAACCTACCATGTTACTGTTCCTGGAGACATGGTCATGAAAATTTTACGAGAGTTGGATCCAGATGCATCCGTCCTTCGAAGGGCTAGAAAGCTGCACCGTCGATCATACGTCTCACCAGGGCCAACGCAACGTGGCATGTCGATAGCACGCGACAAAACTTTCTTTTTCGATTTCCAAAACTTTCTTTTTCGATTTCCAAAACTTTCTTTTTCGATTTCCAAAACTTTCTTTTCGATTTCCAAAATATTTTTTGGAATTTCATGACGATTCTTGGACTGTAAACTATTTTAGAGTTTTATAAAAAGTCATTTAAGGATCCAATAAGTTTCTTAGGATTTGCAATGTTTTTTTAGATTTGCTAGACTCTTCAATATCATGCGGATTTGTACAAAAATTGCGATTTGAAATATTTTCGGATTATTGAGAAAGTTATTTCTGGATCCACTAATTTTCTTAGGATTTGCAATAGTGTTTTACATTTGTCAAACTTTTCGACGGTGATTTTGAAAAAATATTTTGATTTGAAATATTTTTTGGGATTTGCAAAATATTTTTGGATTGTCCCTTTTCGGCTTCCGTACTTGACTTTTCTTAATCGACATATGATAATTTAGATTAGCTGGGGTGTTTTAATTTTGTGAAATTTACTGAGAATAGAAGACTGCCGGAACCGATAGCCACAGCGATAAAAATAACAACATCATAAGACGTTTTTACATAGAGAATTCATCATTAGACGAGACTGTTCAGTCAGGTCAATCTGCCATTATGAAGTACGCAGGGTAATAATGGGCTTTGAGCAAAAATTTTCGAAAAAAAATATATTTTAATTCAATTTACAAAATCACCCATTCGACAAGCCAATTCTAAATTTTGCCAAGCGCCGAAACTTACAATGCGAGCCGTCGGGTATTTGAATGAACGCTGGTAATGAGGACGAGGTCTCAGAATCATTTTCGTTTGCATTTCACTTCTAAAACACCATATTCATTTGATACACATTTGATAACGCATTTTAAGTACTCCCGCATGCGATGTTAAAATCAATGTGATACTATAGCCTCCTCGAAGCTCTAAGATAGTAGTGCAGTCGTGCGCTTGGTTTGTTTTATTTTCGCGACGTTAGGGCCTGTCACAGACTAATATGATGCGTGAAGACATTTTACACTATTTTCACTTTTCAGTCAACAAAGATAGTGATGTCTATGATATGTTTGCAAATAGGCCTCGGCTGCAATCATTTAACTTCGGAGTGGGAATGAGAGGGGTAAAGCTTTTGCTTGAATGTAAAAAGAATGAGGCTAAGATTTCCGAACATCCCCATTCACTTTAATATGAATACTGACATGTTTCGACTCTATTCGGTTAAACTGTTGAGGTGAGCAGTATCTCTAACGATTGTCTTGTTTATGTTTTCGTAGTTTTGTAATTGGCACTCTCTGGAATTTAAAGAGTTACGTTTCTGAATCATCGAGCTGAACGATGGCAGAATTTGCTTGAATCTCGCTGTGCATACTGCCTTATAACAACCCTCGCCTTCATATATTCATATAAAAGACAATCACTTACCTTAAGTGAGGAAAACAGCGAAACAAAGCGAGTGCAAGAGCTTCTCTCACACGACCTCTCCACCGACAACACTTCCGCCTTGTTGGCGGGAACTATGTTTCGTCACAGAGGAAACATTTCACTTCTGCACGTTAGGGTAGGGTGGGGTTATGACACTTTTGAAATACTTTCTGAAACTCTCTGCGAAAGCCTTACTTGAGGCTTTTTTACTAGTTAAAAAAAACAGCAAATACACAAAGAAAATTGACTCAGTCCTTTAAGGCCTTCGAAAATATGAAGTTTCACCCCACCGGTTAGTCCCTTCGTCCCCAGGAACACACGTGATTTCCGATGTGAAGCCCCCTATGCACAAGTACAGTTAGGCTGCCGCCTTATAAAAATATGAGACTAGATGATGACCACAATGTAAATAGATTATCCCAATCTACTTAGCTTTTAAGTTTTTAAGTTTCAGAGTCTCCTTCTCCTTTAACTGAAGGAGAAGGATATTCTCAAACTAGTGGTAAATTCTCCAATGGTGCCGTAATGTCCTTTGCCTTTTGACGTCACCACAACATTAAAGATAACTGTTATCAACAATTTGAGAAGCGTATGCCCAGACGCTTCCTTCCCTTTTGCGCTTTTCTCCCTCTCCCCTCCCCTCACCTTTTTTCGCCTGCCACGCAGGCTAACCCAGATGAAGCCTTTGTGCGAAATATACCAGTAGTACAGGTAAAAAGCTGAAAAAACGAAGAAACAAAACGTTGCTGGCAGATCGGAAAAAAAAACTAGCCAAGCACCAATTTCAACGTTTTAAAATAAACGAAGTTCTGAGTGTTTTGAGAAATTTTTTCCTCTGGGAATGCCTGAATAAGACTGAGTTTTCAGCCAAAGGGAGAGAGAAAAAAAGTGAGAAACACTAATGTATCGTGCGCATTGCCTAATAATTCTAAAAGTTCTTTCTTGTTTTTGAAAAGTATAGATTGAGTTCTTTTGTTTTTAAAGAACAGACTGAGTTCTGTTTTATTATCATAATTATTGTTATTATCATTATTATCTTTAATATTATTACTAGAAGTTCTCATTGAGAAGGGAAGTGCTGCCGTTAGTTGCGATGCGAATAGGACAAAGACAGTTTGTAGTACAGTTAAACATATGAATTCTTTTTTATTAAAGTCAATAACTTAGACTTTCTGGCATTATGAAACACTCAGAGCGTTATATAAAAAATGATATAAGCTCAATGATCTATGATGGCATCATAGATCATTGAGCTTATATCATTTTTAGAATTCTGCTTTTAAAGATGTTTAGCGTTTTCACTGATGTTAAATCTGGAGGTAATTTTTGCCATAACTTAGGCCCAAGATACCTTAAAGAATGTTTACCATATGTTACAGTATTATGTCTAGGAATAGAGAAATCCAAATGTCGTAAAGAATAAGAAGAGTTATGATTATTGAAAAGATTACAGATACAAGTTGAACATAGATTGTGCTTCACTTTGTACATAAGGATGCAAATATCCTGAAGGCGCCTATTCAACAGTTTTTTTAGCAGTTATTTATTAGCAGTAAATCGAAGTAAACATGCTTATGCTCTCATGTAGCTGAACGTTTTTGCGTTTAGAGGGTTTTTTCTTTCATGATATTCACAAAACACAAGGAAGGCGTTTGAGCAAATTGGGCTACAGAATACGAAAAATATGTGGCGGGAAAGTGTACTCGCGCACGCGCACCTTTGGCGCGAAGTACACAAATCGAATATTAGAATCACGAAATGGCACCCCAAGTATAAAATATTAAATTATATAATGAAACACAACTTTTGTTTACGCGATTTGCTTACCAAGTCTAATCGGACTACATTAGAGTCTTATAAAGTAGAGGAACGAACTTTTGGGACACCATGTAAAGTCAATAACATCACCACTTAATTCACAGACGACATTGCAGTGTTACTGACAAATCAGGTTCCGGTTGTTCAAACTTTGTATAGCGCTATCCACCGGATAAATCGCTATCCAGTGGATAAATATTAGGGAAATCAATTTCGTTATCCACTGGATAGTGATTTATCTAGTGGTTAGCGCTACCCACCTTTTGAACAACTGGGCCCAGGTCAATAACTACCACACAGGTTGTCGAAATATCAGTCACTGTCTATTCAGTGTATTCAAGACCACACTCACCCGGATGATCATATACCTAATTATGTTCCAGCTCCATAACTTTTTCCATATATAAAGCTGGTGAATACTTTATCATTAGGCTGAAAGACATGTCACCGCAAAAGGACTGCCATGAACGTGAACACCATCTAAGCACACGTTCAACATGTAATGCCCTGGCGCCGCATCCGTGGGGACAGTGTAAGTAGCCAAATAACTACCATCGCCTCTGTCCTTTACATTTCCAGTAACCTTCTCGTTACCAAACTTGTCTTTAAGCTCCACCATAAACAAGTCGCCACCACGAAGCCGGCGACGCTTTTGGGCGTCATGAGCAAAGATAAAAATGGAATTCTCAAATCCTGTTCGCGTTGTAAGTGAATCCCGTGCCATCCACTCTTGTGTTTTCTGCGCAGGTTGAGTCAGTCGTCAATGACGCTAGCTCCTTTATTGAGCGCGTCCAGTAGCTCATGGAATGACATACGACCAGCCCGAAGGATAAGCTTTGGGACAAACTGGACCTTTGGCTCAAGCACCATTGGTTGGTTTTCTGTGTCCCTAAGCGTCGCCTCTAAAGCAGACCTGGCAACGAGAAGCTCAGGATCGTGACGGGACTGGATGCTGGACAAAACACTCTGGACAGTACTCACTAAGCTTTCTTGAAATTTTCGTAGGCGGTCTTGTTGCTCTGAGAGGATGGCTGCCTTACTACTGTACAGCTGTTCTAACTCATTTGTCAAGTGGTTCTCTCTGGCAGTGATTGCGGCATAAATCTGTAAGACAAAGCATACATAACATCTAAGCAAATATTCTATGCAAATGGCTCAAAATAGCTTGATGAGGAAGTATATTATTTTAAATTCTGATTTCCTCCGTGGTATTGCATTGTTTGTGGGCGCGACAGAGAAACCCATTCATACAAGAAGGCAGCAAGGCCGGTTAGCAGTAGTCCGTGTATAGAGAATGAGTAGGATAAGTTATAACTTCAGGTTCAGTGAAAATGCTCATATAAAATGCGTTTTCGTCTGAAAACGTACACATTTTGATGCGTCGCGGCCTTCGTGCATACATTAAAAAAAGTTACTAAAATTTTAAACCGGCGGGTTGTCAAAAACGCCCTCTAAAATGAATGTTTTAATAGTTGTCAATTGTTTTTGTGTGGGTGGGCAAACTCAAAGGCAAACGAAAGCGCAAAAACGCTGATTTTATAACCAGTTTAATACTCAGGACCCGGCTTCGTACGTTTGTTGTTCCCGCGCTTTAAGAAAGTACCTGTTTTACCTGTTTTCTCGAAGATTCTCGAAAAGCACGTAGCCAGCTCCCTTTTTAAATTTGTGCACGTGCGAGATAACAACTTGTTATACGAGCTCCAATCAGCTTTTAGGTCAGGACATTCTACAGAAACAGCCCTGATCAGACTTACAGATCATATATTAACAAACATGGACAATGACAAGTTGACTGGTTTGGTATTTATAGATTTTCGCAAAGCCTTTGATGTAATCGATCATCAACGTCTTCTAACAAAGGTCTATTTACGGGGTTTGTCCCTCTTCCGTCGCTTGGTTTAAATCGTACCTGTCTGAGAGAAAGCAGTTTATTACTTTAGGGAAAGTTAAATCTGAACAGCTGACCGTAAAGCAGGGTGCGCCCTAAGGGTCAATTTCACGTCCGGTGCTTTTCCTTTTGTTCGTCAACGATATGCCTCTTAATGTTTACAAATCAACTATGGACATTTATGCAGATGATTCCACCTTGTCTTCAAGTTCAAATAGAAAAATCATTTCATCACTAATCCAAACCGTTATCTTATGATATGGCAGAGATAGAGAGGTGGGCGAGAGGTAACAAAATGTACGTAAATACGCAAAAAACAAAAGCTTTGTTGGTTACGGGAATGCGTCCACGGAGGCGTATGGACCACGATTCAGGAAAGCTGGAAGTATACCGCTGAAATTATACCTAACCTTTTCGATAAGACTCCTTTAGCTTACACCAGTTTTTTCATCGCATGTTTTCCTCAACCATGTTACCACGTGGCATAGGTTGGTTGATGTTACTTAAAATGTAACTCACCTTTCACTTGGTCATAAGTACGTTTTAGAGTTTGTTTTTCAGAATCTTTTCAGTAGTTTGTCTCTTTGTTTTTATATAGTTTCAGCTTTTGTTTGTATTTCGACCTTATGGTTCTACGGATCTTTATAGTTCATCGAACTGTTTTCGCTTTGTTTTTAGATGTATCGTTTTATAATCTCGAATTTTGTACTTGTTAATTCGTTTTCGATTATTTTCTTAAGTCTTGATTCGTTTACCTTCTTCGGCTTAGTCTTAGTGTAACTTGCAACTTTGCTATGGAATGATTGGAATGTAGTTTGTAAGTTAGAAATTAGCTTAGCCTTTTTTGTATTTCATGTTTCAGTTTACGATAAGGACTTGGATCCTATGATCACGTTGAATAAACGATTCAAGACTCCTGTCCGTAAAATATTTCCTCGCTTTATAGTGTGTCGTCGCTTGCGAACTCAAGGTCGTTTTCGTAAATTGCTTCGCTTGTGTTGGCCGCTACATGGACAGCGTTTGACTTTTATTGGGTGGGGAGGGTTCCTTAAACAAAGGGAAACCTACCTTCCTGAAAAAGCCATGAATTTGGGCTTCTTTTTCTTCATACGCTTTTTTCATGTCAAGATTCGCTTGCTTCACTCTAGCTTCTGCAGTTTTAATCACCTCGGAACGAGCGCTAACTTTAGTGGCAAGTTCCTGCATTTCCTGACGGCATTTTGAAGCAGCCTCACCTAAAGATAAACAATTGTGACCTTGGTGATCAAGCTTCATGCATCCACTACAAACCACGTGACCGCAGGCCTCGTCAAATAAACGGAATGGCTCGCTATGCTTTGAACACAATGCAGTTGCAGTGGCTGATTCCATTGAGATGAGTTGGTGATCACAACTTGCTTTGCTGCGACTGTGAAAGCGAGCTGCATCCTTACACATATCTTCTTCGCAGTTGAAGCACCAGAAGATTGCCGGATGCTTATCATCACAAACCTCGCAATCGAATAAACTTTCACCTTCTTCTTGTGGAGGTTTGACATCGATGATGCTTAACAATGCAAAATTCTTTGGTAACCCTACGACTCCATCTTGAGATACGTTAACTTCAACTCTGCAAGTGGGACAGGGAATTTTATCATCCACAGTGAGTAACCGCTGTAGGCAGCTCGTACAAAAACTGTGACCACAAGTCAGCATACGAGGGCAAAGGTTTTGATCATCATAACTCTCACAACAAACTAGACACTCAAGTACTTTAGGAGACGCCATTGTCTGAAAAAAGGAAGAAGAAGACATGTTGAGAGTAAGGCCCGGTTCAGACGTAGAACTTTTCATGTACCCGAATCTAATTCTTTCAGTTAGAACGTGAAAAGACTAAATCGATGTACATTAAGTTCGAGTGGTCCACATGAATTTCGACTCTGTCGAACCGTAGAGCGACCTCGTTTCAAATGTCGAACTTTTTTATGTGCCGAATCTTAATGCAAAAGCTACTATAATTTATTTTGATTAGAAAGCGTTTGAGTCAACAGTCGAATTTTTAGGCTGTGAACATCTCTCTTTTTTTTCGTAGTCTTTCGAACTCAACGCGCCAGACACGAAAATGACCATGTGCCTGATGAAAGACGCGAGACGGAAGAGACGCTCGCGCGCGCATGCACTGCCCTTATTTACTAAATCTGAAAAAAAAAACAGAGTGAGAGAGACTGCTCGCAGTCATCGTCATGGGGTCAACCCAAATGAGTAATAAGTTCGGTACATGAATAGCCTGAATTTCATCCGATTACTTCGAGTCGTTATTACTCCCTCAGTACTGGGGGAGCAATAACGACTCGAAGTAATCGGATGAAATTCAGGCTAGGTACATGAAAAGTTCAAAGTTTTTAAAAGGGCCCAACCTCACAGTCAGGTTAACAAAGTAATCGCGTTGGCAAGCTTAGAGCGATGGGCTGTTGAGCATGAGGTGATGGGTTCGATCTCCGGGGGCTCAGGGGACCAAACCGACACCCCTTTCGAGTGGTTAGAAGGGTTGGGGGTTGGCGTCGTTGTTTTAAGCACTTTTTGAAATACACATATTTTTCGAGATTGGTAAAGGTCATTATTAGGATATTACAACCATTTTTACGTTTTTCTTTCATTAGGATTCATTTATTTATTTTTTCCCCTTGAATTGTTATACCGTTACTCGTTTTCTCGTTACTCCGTCACTCGTGACTCGTTACTCTGTTTAGTAACACCCAGTGGGCAAAGATAGCAATGTCTGTGATATGTTTGCAAATAGGCCTGGGCTGCGACCATTTAACTTCGGATTGGGAGAGGGGTAAAGCTTTAGCTTGAATGTAACGTTTTCCCACGAAGTTAATTAATGTCGTCGGCTATGTCGGTTGAAAGAATGCACGTCGCTCAAAACTTTCTTGAATCGCTTCAACTTTCGACTTAGTTGAAATGCAAAGTAAAGTGACTTGAGATTAGACCTTCACTGCCTTCACACTTACGTTTGCTATTAACTTGAAACTCTAAATGAAATCGTTATAAATAGTAGAAAGACTGATACATTAAGTCTGAGGTGTTCAGTACAGTCAATGCGACTGGAAGAACTTTGACTTTAAATTAATCTCTCGTTGTTATTGATAAAATAACTGAACCGAAAACTTTTCCGTGTCGTCACTGAAGTCAATCCAACAATATATAGAATGCTTTAAACTAGTGAAGTGCAGCCTCGAATTGAAAACAAAGTACAGTACTCACTAAAGCTTAAATTTACAAAGAGCCTAAGCGACCGACAACCCGTCAAGGTTTTCTAATCACTGAAAAATGTCTTACATTCCAATATCTAGACTTGAATCTGCGGGTAGATAAAGCGAACTAGGTAAGCAATATCCTATAGATGTTCATATCAGGTTACAGCCATTAAGTGTTTAGGAAACTCCGACCGGCAGACGGTCGTATAACCACAGCGTTAAATGGTATAAAAAGCGATAAAATGTCATCAAGACTCAAACTGATGCCAAAACGAATGTGACTTTGCGAGTGAAAGGGTTATACAACGGTATCATGCAGAATAAGCTTGAATTAGTCTATTCTACCACCTTACAACAAGCTTTGCCTTGCAATATATTTATCAAAGAAGTTGTACGTACCTCAAGTGAGGCAAAAGGCTCGATAGAGTGAGTACCGAAACCTTCTGGCGGAGGTTGGGCGTTGTTGTCGGGAAGTAGGTAGCCTGCGTGAGACAAACCCTTTTACTTTTGCAGGGGAGGGGAGGGAGGGTGCTTGAACGTGAAGCAGATAGAGTGTTTTCACATGACGTCACGGCGGCCATATAGGTGTCGCAAAACAATGAAACGGTGGCCATGTTGGTGTCCCAAACCAGTCCTGTGAGAGTTAAACTCTTTTCTTATGTAAACGCTTTCTTTTGTTAAAATAAATTTGCACAGACGCTGGCCACGTGAGTGAAAACGCTCTATACTACAACTTTCCACGAAAATTGACCTGAGGCTTCGTTTGGAGTTAAACAGCAGCAGAAGCAGCGGCGAGCTCACACTGGTAAAAACAGAGAGAAAATCAAATTCAGCCAACAGGTTCTTTGGAAATATTCAACCATAGGTGCCTCGTCCGCAGTCACCTTCCTTGCGCGCGGTTATTAGTGTGCGCAGTTCCTGGGTACGAGTCATTTACTAAGACCTAGCCTGAAATTTATCCGATTGCTTCGAGTCGTTTTCTCCTCTCAACAACGTCTGAATCGACCGGCCGTTAATGCCGCCCAGTGACGTCACTCACTACCCGAAAACCGGGTAGTGATTTTGATTGGTTGATTGTCTAAACATTCGCATAATTATGTATAATTATGAAAAATTTTAGCGGGATTGTCGCTTGATATTCAGCGGATCACATCCCTTGCATTCTTTCGTTTAGTTCAAACACTTCGATAAGCTTAATCTTTATCTTAAACAGCAAAATTGCCCTCGTCTTCGAAACTGAAATGCTACATTGAACTGCGAAAGAAGAATCATTGCGGAGAGTCGGTAGGTTTTTCATTTAGAGCCGCTTTGTGGTTTCGGCTGCCGGTGATTTTGTTTACGCGAAGTTTTGTGAGATCAATGTTATAATTGGACCTTGCTATTTTTACCGTCAAGTGTGATGATTCTGTTAGCTTTTCTTTCTTGTCTCCTTGTTTTTTTTTTTTCTTCGTTAAGGACCAAATAGCTTCTTTTCAATTAAAGCTAATCATTGTGTTTTTGAACTAAGTGTTCCGTGTGCGTGTTTATTTCATTGCGTGATTGCGACCGAGTTTGATTATAGAATTCAGTACAACCGGTCACGGGTGTCTAGAAAACGACGACCTAGAAAACGAAGACCTACGACCTAGAAAACGACGACCTACTAGAAAACAACGACCTAGAAAACGGTGACCTAGCAAAACGACGACCTAGAAAACGGTGACCTAGAAAACGAAGACCTAGAAAACGACAACCTAGAAAACAACGACCTAGAAAACAACGACCTAGAAAACGACGACCTAGAAAACGACGACCTAGAAAACGACGACCTAGAAAACGACGACAAGGAAGGGGTAGCTCGAAGGATTAAGGGGTTAGAGGGGTACAGAAGGCGGGAAATAAGAGGACGATAGGAGGGAATTATGAAGGGGTGAGAGGTGGGCGAAGAAGGAAAATTACAGAAAAATAGTAAATATTATTTGTACCGGCTAAGAGTATGAAGCCAAGGAATAAAACGGTGGAGTTGGAAATGCAAGGTACGCGAGGTCTCCCCTCTGTTTCGTTTATCAAACAAGCGTTGCCTGTTTGTTATTGGATAGATTTATTTGATGACAAGAATTGTATTAGCTTATTGTGTTTCAAACCAGTTTTTCAGTAGAATCGAAGTGAGAAAGAAATAAATTTACAGTCTGTCTATAAATCCGCTTACCTGAAGAATCTGTTAAAAGAATTTGCTAACCTCTAAAGTGCGATTGTTGTAACGACCCGCCACAGAAGTAAGTTATAATTAACATTGAAGTTTTCTGAATTTAGCTACGAGATTAAGACGATTTGTGTTTGTTCTGATTGCGAATAATAAATGTATTTCTTTTAGATCGAAAAATTATTAAAGCTTGGTGGTCATTGGAGCTAACCAGTTCCTAAGGAAACACCCTCCAACTCTAGCTGGCTG